GGAAGAGAAAGGACGCTTCCTGGATTGATGTTCTTGAGACAGTGGGTCCCTTGCCGAGCTGGGTGTGGCTGGCACTGGCCTGGCTCCCTGGGCAGCCAGTGTGAGCTCTGAACATGGACTTTGCCCTGCATCTCCAGGGGAACAAGGAAGATGGGTATGTGCGGGATGAACCTCATTTCCTTCACCTGTGTAATTCTGGAATATCAGGAAAGGACTGTCTCCTCCCAGTGAAAGTCTGGATGGGAGAGTTGCTTTCTTGTTTTAGGGCTTTGAACAAGACTGAATGCCACCCCTCAACATACAAAGCTGAAGCAAACAGCCAGCATCACCAGTGCAGGCGGAGGGAAAATGTACCCCCGTTACCATAGAAATGCTCATTCCGCGTGGAGGCAGCTGTTATAAATCCCTGGGTGGAAATAGCCGGCCAGGGAAGTGGGGAGGGGAGAGATGTGTGATGCCCGGCCTCACCTCTTTGCTCCGCCCACTTCATCCATTGCGTGAAAGGAGCCGCCCATCCTACACCGGCTCTTATCTCCAGGGGGTTGCTCCTCTCCTGGAAATCTTGGTTCCGCCCTCCAAGACTTAAAAATTCTGCTCTGAGTCAAGTCCCCCAAAACTCCAGGCCCCAAACCAGCCACCTGTTTAACTCTCCTCACTCGGAGGCTGAACTCGCCCGATGCACAGATGGCAGCTAGCGGAGGTGTGGGCCGCGGCTCTGAATACACCTGCTCCTCGAGTTATCCACCCATTGCACCTCGGAGCCTCGGGCCCAGCCTTCACATCAGGCTATGCTAACTCTGGCCGCCGTGTCCTCCACCTCATTCTTGGAAGGCCGTCCAGTGGGCCCCCCTATAACTGTACTGGGCTCGTCCAGACCCCTTGGCTGCTGAACACCGTTTAATTGTGGATGTGCGTGTGAGAGGGGGTGCTGTTTCTGAGGACCCAGGGCTGATTGAGGACCCTTATCAGTGCCCGCCGCTGTGTTTCCTGGGCAGCCATGGCTTTAGTCCATTCTTTTTTGTGTGTGTGTGTGGCATGTGGGATCTTAGTTCCCAGCCAGGAACTGAACCCACACCCACTGCAGTGCAAGTGTGGTCTTAACCCCTAGACCACCAGAGAAGCCCCACTGGCTTTAATCCGTTCTTGTGGGCTCCTGAGACACCTGAGCTTCCCTCAGCCCATGGAATTGTTTCTCGGTCCCTGCGCAGCTCAGATCACCAGTGGCTGCCCTAAGCAGAGCCCGGGTGCTCCTGTAAGAGTGGGGAACCAAACTAACCTGCAGACCCTATTTGCTGAGAGCTGGTGAAGGGTGGGGTGCCCATGGACAGATCTGAGTCTTTCTGAGTTGTATGACAATTCACCTCCCGGATGGAGAGGATCTCTGGCATCCTTTCATGATGCAATTATTATTATTATTTTTAATCAGTAACCTGGCTCAAAAATCAAGACTATATTGCTTCTTGTGCCTCCTTCCAGAGTTTATCTTAAAAAAATTGTGTTTTTTGTTTACCCCACGCTTTTTGTAATCCAAAGGTCTCTTTTGAAGACTTTTCTGTTCTTAGCTCCTAGAGAGAATCCTCACCCTTTTTCAGAGTGGCATTGTAATTACACTGTATGAATGTGTCGTGCGTGCGTGCATGCGTGTGTGCGTGCGAAGTTGCTTCAGGGTACCCTTTCTACTCTGTCATCCTGGATTACTGACAGCAGTTCCCTGAGCCTTGCTGTCAGTGGAGTAGGATGACGGAGTAGAGAGGGTACCCTGGGCCCCTCTGTTACTGGGGCTCCAAAGGCCACCATAGGTGGGGAGTGAGAGGATCCAGCTTGTTGAGTCATGTCTATTTCCGTTTCAGTTTACTCACCCAAATGCTTCCATCCCAACCAGTCACCAAAAACAGTAACAGTGTCGATTTGTTCTTAATCAATATGTGTTTTTCTTACATGAAGTGGGCCGAACGACTACCGGTGGCTGAAGGTGGTACTAGGAACCCTGGGACAGGGCTTCTGAAGCTTTCATGTCACAGCTGGGGGACCAGGGCCGGGACAGTTCAGTCAGCAGGGGGGTGGTTTCGGGTGACTTGGTGCTTTGGCTGTGATGGGTGTCTCCTTGCCAGGACGCTCTCCTTCAGAGCCTTTCCCCTGGAGAGGGGAGCTTAATGGTCTGTGAGAGGCCCTCCTGGGGAGTGTGGACAGCTGGAGAGTTGGACATTATTGCTGGTGGCTCTGCAGCGGCAGCTCTGAGTGTGGGTCCACTGTGCCCAGGGAGGGACCAGGCGGGTCTTTTATGCTTGCATCTCTGTGAGTGTCGGTCAGTGGACATGTCTGTGATTCTGCTCAACCCAGAAGTCTTAGAGCAGTGTTTTAAAATTTTCTGGGGTCAGAGACACCTTTTAGAAACCAAAAGTCAAGGATTCTTTATCCAGAGAAGAACCACCCACCTATGCACTTGGGAGCAGACTGATGATTCTGTGTGCAAAGTTAGGAGCTCTCTGGGAAGTCCAGAAGCCCATCCACAGACCCTCTCAGGAGAGTAATTCTCAATTATTATAAGTGTTATGATCTTATTTTGCCTATGCACTGCACACGATAACATCTTTCATTGCACGCACTCCTCCTCTGCGAGGTTCAGCCCTTTGGGAATTGGGGAGGCGTAGTGTGGTCTAACAAGTCCTGACTGAGGAGCCTGGGGACTTGGACTAGGAACAACTGGCAGAGGGTGTTACTTTGGCAGAGGGTTGATTACTTTGCTTGGAAGGTAGAGAGGCGAGAGCGATTTCTCCCGCTGCAGACATTGCCTGGCACCTTGCCCGGGTTTCACAGGAGGCACTTCAGGGCCACGGGGTGAGTGGGGGCACCCGATGTGCTGTTCCTCTCTCAGCATTCCCTACTCACAGTGATTATGGAGGCATGCCTCCGCCCACCCCCAGAGAATCCGCAGCCCTGTGCCCAGAGGCTGCCTGGCAGGCTGGGTGAAGCCAGGCCACTGCTTGCATCCCCAGCTCCCCAGCTCCCCAGCCTGGCTTCACGAGTGCCATGCAGCGGTCGCCTGGGGAAGGTAGGAAGGCTAATGACTCATTACCCCGGCAATTAGTCACATCACCGAGGAGCTCGGTCCCCTGCAGGACTGGTGCCACCTGCTGCCACTCTGGTTCCTGTTCCTCTCTGCTTTTCTCCTGCTCTGAACGGGCACTGTCACCCCGGGAAGCAGTCACCGCCTTCCTCCAGGTGTGGGTGTGTAGCTGCAGCAGGACCAAGAGACTAGGACTAAAGGGTCACTCGTCTGTGCTCCCTGCCCCAGGGCTACATAGGACCTCCAGGGACCTACCACAGAAGGGAGCATGTGACACCAAAGCGAAGATTCCCCCACATGCCTCATACACCCATGACACCTGTAGATACACCTGTCTGTGTACACACGTGCTCACAGATGTATGAATATAGCAGGAGGGAAAGGCTGCGTCTCCCAGGCCTGAACTCCCAGGAGAGGGCGAGGGCGCTAACTTCCCCTCCCCTGGGACCACTCTCACTGAGCTGTCCGGCTTCCAGGTTGGCCCTAGGGACCCTCTAAACTTCTCAACCTCAGTGCAAGAGACAGCCAAACCAAACTTACCGGACAGCAGTGACCGTAACAGTGAAGGCAGAAATGAGGTGATAGCCACTGCTTTCAGTGGTTATTTCCGAAGTGCAGGTTTCTTTCTAAGATGCAGGGTTTTTTTTTAAAAAGATAGTTTATTTATTTGTTTTCGGCTGTGCTGGGTCTTTGTTGGTGCACCGGCTTCTCTCTGGTTGCGGTGAACAGGGGCTACTGTCTCATTGTGGTGTGTGGGCTTCTCACTCCGGTGGCTCCTCTTGTTTTGGAGCACGGGCTTGGGACCTGCTGGCTTCAGTAGCTGCAGCTCCCAGGCTCTAGAACACAGGCTCAGTAGTTGTGGTTCACGGGCTTAGTTGCTCTGAGGCATGTGGGATCTTCCCGAATCGGGGATTGAACCCACCTGTGTGTCCTGCATTGGCATGCAGATTCTTTACCACTAGCACCACCTGGACGCCCACCTCCAGCCCAGGAGGCAAGGGGAGACCTCCTCCCACCTGTGAGCCCTCACCCCCAACACACCTGGAGGAGGTGAAAGGGGCTCAGCCCAGGTTTGGGGCCCTGGCTCCTCCTCCCATCTCTGCCACTTGGTGATGCGAACCAGCCCTCTTCCCCTTTCAGGCCCTTTCCTTCCTCAGCTGTAAAACAATCAGCTTGGCCTCAGTCACGGCCAAGCCCCTTCCTCCCCCTGTACCTCCACACTAATTCCTTTTTAGCATCTGTTTGTGCCCAGGGCAGCTCCCCGCCCTCCCCCACCACGCCCTTCTTTGCTTCCCAGGGAGTCTGTCTGCTGTAAGCGTGTCCAGACAGAGAGAGTAGGCCTGGCCCCTAAAAACATGAATGAATGAAGGGAACCCTCCCTGCGTGGGAAGGAGAAATCTCTCACTCCCGCAGGGCTCATCAATAATTCAGGGCCGCTGTCAGATCTGATCTCTGCAGTGGCTTCATCAAATTTCAGCTCCTCTCCAGAGCCTCGTTCCTTAGCAACTGCATCATTGGTGCTCTCCAGGAGGGCTGCCAGGCTGTGTGCTCCCCTCGTCCCCTGTCCTGGGGGTGCTGCCTGTGCTTGCCCTCGTGGGCAGGGGTGGAGTCACCCATGCCAACCCATCATGGCAGCTTTGTCCTAGGAGCCTCAGGACAATGCCACATACAGGAGGCATGACACAGCAGGCCAGGTGGCAGGAGGGGGCGGGGATGGAGTGGCATCTCAAAGCCCCCAGGGGTCCACTCTGGGCGGGCAGGGGCACGGGCGGGAGCACTTTGGAAGGAGGTCGGGGTGTATCTCTGTGGCCTGCCTAAGCCTGAACCACACCCCCCAGTCCTCACCTCTGTGCTCCCCACGGGTATGAGGGAGGGGGTGTTCTCCCTCGCCCCGTCTTGCCTAGGCTCAGTTGCCGTCCCCTCTGTGGCCCAGGTGCGGTGGAGGCTTGCCTCCTGCATCAGCTGAGGCGCCGCGCTGCCGGCTTCCTGCGCAGTGACAAGATGGCAGCCCTGTTCACCAAGGTGGGGAAGACGTGCCCGGTGGCCGGGGAGGTTTGCCACAAGGTGCAGGAGCTGCAGCAGCAGGTGGACGGCAGGTGAGCCCGGGCCGCTGCTCATCCCACTTCCGAGGGCCTCTTAGGTGAGGGCCAGACTAAGGGTGGTGGTGGTGGGGTGGCCCTTTCATCTCCAACCCCTCCTCCTGGTCAGTCCTCTGGGTTCTTGTCTTGTGGCGCCAGACTCGGCTCCCAGAGCCACCAGTCTGCATTGCAGCTTGCCCCCCACGCCCTCATACTCCTGGAGCCCATCCCTCTCTTTGCAGGAAACCCTTGGCAGGCAACCAGGAGACCCTGCGGAGACAGGGCTCTGCCAGCGGGAAGGCCCCAGCCCTCAGCCTGCAGGCCCTGAAGCACATTTGGGTGCGCACAGCGCTGATCGAGAAAGTGCTGGACAAGGTCGTGCAGTACCTGGTGGAGAACTGCAGGTGACTGCCCTTCCTGAGCGCCCCCTCCCCACCCCGGCCCCCGTGCCTGACTGCCCACCATGGTCTGTAGGCATGCGCCATTCACTGTAGCGCCCTGAAAGCACGGACCGCCCCAGGCCGCCCACAAAGCTCAGCCCTTGTATACTTGTTGCTGCTTGATGACTGGACAGGGATTAGGTCCTTGTGGGGACGTGTCTCCTTGGTGAGCTTGATGACCCTGGAAGGAGGCCCAGAGCCCTGCGGTCACCCTGTACTCTTTCCTGGCAGCAAGTACTACGAGAAGGAGGCGTTACTGGCTGACCCTGTGTTTGGCCCCATCTTGGCCTCTCTTCTAGGTAAGTCTGGGATCAGAGAGGCCTGTGCTGGCCCACAGTGGGGGCTCCGGGGCAGGTGCCAAGGGGCCACCCCCGAGCTGGTGGTCCCTGTCTCCACAGTGGGACCCTGTGCCTTGGAGTATACCAAGCTCAAGACAGCCGACCACTACTGGACCGACCCCTCTGCTGATGAGCTGGTCCAGAGACACCGTATCCGGGGTCCCCCGCATCGCCAAGACTCCCCTGCGAAGCGCCCAGCCCTAGGAGTAGGTGTCCCTCTCCTCACCCCATGCTCACCCAGGATGGGCCCCCGGGCCTGTGGCAAGGCAACCAGCCTGTGTGCTCCTGGCAGATTCAGGTGTACCGGCCAGCCCAGGAGAGCCTTCCCCGCACTGGCTCTTACATAGATGCCAGGAGCACAGAGCTGGTCTGAGGCTGAGGGCAATCTGGGGACAGGAAGGAGCCTCGGGGTCCTTGGCCCCCACGCCGACCTCCCCAGACCAGGGGCCGAGGCGTGACTTTGTGCGCAGATCCGGAAGCGACACTCCAGCGGCAGTGCGCCAGAGGACAGGCTCGCCGCCTGCGCCCGCGAGTGTGTGGAGTCGCTGCACCAGAACTCCAGGGCCCGGCTGCTCTACGGCAAGAACAACGTGCTGGTGCAGCCGGTAGGGGAGCCAACGCCCCCCACCTCTCCCTCCTCCACATTCAGCCCTTCCTTCAGAGGCTTCATTTCACACGCCTCACGCCCAGCCTTGAGCTGTCACGAGCCAGGATGGCACCGGCTCCGGCCCACTGAGACCAGGCCTTCCCGGGGCAGGAGCGGCGGCCAACAGGGAAGGGGAACACCCAGACACATCTGAGAGCCAAGAGGCTCCCGGGGCAGAGGTGGTGGCCCCAGCCAGGCAGGGGAAGGAGGTGCCCACAGCTGCAGGTGGCACATGACGCCCCTGCTTCCTCCCGGTCCCCAGGCCCAGACCCTGTGATTGGCCCGGCCTGGCCTCCCCTGAACCCACCTGGAGCTCCTCTTCCACAGGCCATCCCGGAGCCTCTCAGGCCTCATCTTCCCTGTCCTCTGTGTGTGTCCTGTCCATAGAAGGAGGACATGGAGGCCATCCCTGGCTACCTCTCCCTGCACCAGTCTGCAGAGAGCCTCACTCTGAAGTGGACCCCCAACCAGCTCATGAACGGGACTCTGGGGGACTCTGAGTTGGAAAAGAGGTGAGGGCTTTGAGACCCCGTCCCAGGAGCCAGGGAAGAGAGTGGGGGCTTGTTCCCTGGTGGGGAGGGCATGGAGAGACTCAGCCTGCTCCAGGGGGCAGGCCTCACTTCTTACCTGATGCCAAGAATTACAGGGAGAGGCTGCCTGGAGAGGTTCCTGGAATGTCTCAGACAGAGCCAGGCCTGGGCACAGAGAGGCTTGTCTGAGCCAAGTTCTGGGCAGCTGCGACTGCCAGGCTCTCTGCTACGAGGACAGCACGGGGCCCCGGGGGACACGGTTAGCTGAGGTCGCTTCTCAGCCACAGTCACGCTATCCTCTGGATAGTCTCTCGGCGTCTCGGCGGGGTGGCAGCTCTCAGGGCACAGTGACACCAACCTGGTTCCTCTGCAGTGTCTACTGGGACTACGCCCTGGTCGTGCCCTTCAGTCAGATCGTCTGCATCCACTGCCATCAGCAAAGTAAGCCTCGTCTGTGCTGGGCGCAGGGGTGAGGGAGGAGAGGCCGCATGGCCCACGGACCTCCTGTCCCCCTCCCGCCGCTCTCTGGCTCCAGGCCCTCCCCCAGCCTCACTGGCACACGTTCACCCCCAGAGAGCGGCGGCACGCTCGTGCTAGTGAGCCAGGATGGCATCCAGAGGCCCCCGCTGCTCTTCCCGCAAGGGGGCCACCTGCTGTCCTTCTTGTCCTGCCTGGAGAACGGCCTTCTGCCTCGAGGGCAGCTGGAGCCCCCACTCTGGACCCAGCAGGGGAAGGTATCTCCAGGCGAGGGGAGGTAGGGATTCGGTTCTCTCCCACCGCGCCCCCCCCAACCCCGGTCCCCCATCCTTCTCCCCATGGAGCTCTTCGCAGCAGCATGGGGGTCTCCTGCATCAGACCCCACTGAGGGCAGGCTGACCACCCACCCCACCCCACCCCACCCCTACAGGGGAAGGTGTTCCCCAGGCTACGGAAGCGCAGCAGCCTGCGGTCCGTGGACGCGGAGGATGTGAGCACGGGGCGAGCGACCGACTACGTGTTCCGGATCATCTACCCTGGCCACAGACACGAGCACAGTGAGTGTCTCAAACCTCACTCAGGATGAAGAGAGAGGCGAGCTCCGGGTGGTGGGGGGTGCAGTGTCACCTGGGGCCAGGGTGGGGGGCGGCCGGCAGGGCCCGCTGCCTGGGCCGGGGTGACCCAGTCAGGTTGTGGCTCAGCCTCACACGGGACCTGTCCCCCCACAAACCATGCCCCTGAGAAGTAGCCTCTTGTATATCTAGCTGTCTTCTTCTCACTTTGTAACCTCAGGTCTCTTGGCTCAGAAGTCACTGTTCAGTATTCTCTTGGCCATCCTTTCATGCCCTGCCCCGGGGAAAAAACATGGCTAGACTAGAAATAGAAGATGGGGAGCTCTCCGTTTCGCCTCAGCCTGCCGCCTGACCCCCATAGGGAAGCCTGGGTGCAGGATCAGCGCTGCCTTGTGGACAATTTGTGGGTGCAGATTGTTCCCTGACTCTGCTCTAGCCAGGCTCCTCCCCTAACCTGCTACTGATGCGGGGGCAATAGTGGGAGTCGGGGGCCTTTAGGGTGAGGTTTGGAGCCACAAGGGGCCTCTGGAGGCCAGGAGTTGAAAGTCGGCTTGGCTCTCGTGGGTCCTGCCCCGCCTGGATGTGACCCCTCTGGGCCCCTGGGGGCTGAGCCACAAGCATCTACCGACCCCCGAGCTCCCTCTCTGCTCAGAGCACCGCTGTGAGCATCACTGACACGCGAGCACCGGGTACGAGCATTGCCTATGGGGCTCTCCTGGCCAGACGCGCTGAGCTTGGGGGTAAGGTCAGGGAATGCGCCAGACCAGAGCATGCATTGCCAGCCAGACCACCTGCTCCCGAGATGCGCTAACTCGCGCCAACAAGTTGTTGACCAGTGGTCCCTGTATTAGTGGACAGACTGTGCAGACTGCAAACACACAGCCTCACCACAGCGCAAGTTCCCAACCAGCGTGGAGGGCAGGAGGTGTGGGGCCCCTCGCCTCCCAGGTGTGCCTGCCGAGGAGGAGAAGCAGCTTTGGCCAGCCGTGTTTGCCGACCTGGCACTTAATCTCGGGCTCTTGCTCAGCTCAGCTGTTGCAGCTTCCACTTGCCCTCTTCAAGTCTTATCACTTCCCAGTTGCGGTCACCTCAAGGAGCAGAAGCCCAGTAGGGTGACTCATGACTCAGGCTCTTCGTGAGCAGCTCCAGAAAGGCCTGAGAAGGTTGGATTTTCAGTCTGAAGAGGGGGATTTTAGGGTGACCTTCAGATGTGGTTAAGCCTGACCATGACACAAGCTGAAGAATGATGGGGATCCATCTGCCAACAGTCATGCCCAGCCTCGGCCGTGCAGGGCCGGGGAGCCTCTGTCTTTCACTACCCTGACCGCCCCCATCAGTTCTCTCTTCTGTTCTTCCTAGAGAGGGCGTCCTTTAAGAGTGAGCTCTGTAGCTGCCTCCCGGCCCTCACTTTCTTCCATCCTTTCCCCAGTAACTCATCAAAAGGCTCCGGTCCCCTCTTCCATGCCCTGCAGGCTCAAGGCGACCCCAGACTCCGTAAGAAGGGAGTCCGGACCCTCCTGCCCTGGGACCAGGGTCCTCACGCCTCTGCGTCTCTGCTGTTCTCTTTGAGCAGTCACTATTAACTACCACCACCTAGCGGCCAGCCGCGCGGCCTCGGTGGACGATGATGAGGAAGAGGAGGATAAACTACACGCGATGCTCTCAATGATCTGCTCGCGGAACCTCACAGCTCCCAATCCGATGAAAGGTTTTTATCCCTCCCCGTCTCCCTGATCCACCCCTTCCTCCCGCCCCGTCCCAATCCCCTGGGCCCACCTGCCACCCACCGCAGGGGCTCAGATGGCAGTGTTGGCATTACGGGACTTGTACCCAGGAGGCAGATCAGGGAGGGTGGAAGGAGGCGCCAGCCAGAGGAACAAGGACCATACGCAGCCGGCTCTGGGTTCCCTATTGAACCTGTGAGGGGAGGCCTCCCACCTGAGAGGGAAGAGATTAGAGACTCCCTGGTGGGAAGTCTGATTATCTGGTTCCCTCCTGGGAATGAATGGCTCTCTGAGCCCTGTTCCCTCTCCGGGGGTGGATCATACTGATAAACCCAAGACAGTGTCTCTTTCTCTCCCACTGTCTGGAAAGACGGCCCGTGCCTCTGACTCCCGACTTAACGTAAACAGGACAGAAGAGCAGGCCCCTCCTCTGCAGGGCTAGGGGCTGGACAGCTCATGGGAACCGGAGTAACCTGTGGTCAGGGGAGGGGTTGGGGTCACCATGGAGAGAGACCCAGGGCTCAGTTGACCCAGCTGACACTTTAGCATGAAATCTAGAAATATCTGTGCCAAAGATATCAGACAGCTGTGTTCCCGCTCTCAGGGACCTGAGTCCAGGGTTGCAAAGACCCCTTTACTGGAAATGACAGGACAGCGCCCACAACTTCTCTGGTCGCCAGTCCTCTTGGCGCAGAGCTTGACTGGTGGAGAGGCACTGGCCGGGGGAGCAGTGAGGCCCAGGTCACGCAAGATTGGTTCTGAAGGGCTGAGGCCCCCTCTCAGACCTGAGGGGAAGCGTTCCCATGCCGCAGATTCATTTCTTCCTTCTTTTTTTCACTAAAAATATATATTGTGTCCATATAGGAGCTAGTGGAAAAATGTTCATCTGTACCTCTTTTCTATACTCTGCACGTGTGCTAAGTCACTTCAGTCATGTCGACCACAGCCCACCAGGCTCCTCTGTCCATGGGGATTCCCCAGGCAAGAACACTAGAGTGGGTTGCCATGCTGTCCTCCAAGGGATCTTCCTGACTCAGGGATTGAACCCGAGACTCATGTCTCCTTCATTGGCAGGCAGGTTCTTGACCACTAGCCCCACCTGGGAAGCCCTTTCTGTTCTCCAAGAATGACCAATTAAATATATAATCCCCAACATTTTAGGAGATGAGGGTGGTGTGTATACAACAAGTAGGAGAAGAAGCTTAAGACAATCCATTGTCCAGGATGCAAGTCATCTATTCCATCAGACCTTAATGCAGACATGGAACCCTTTGATTCTGTTGCCCTGGTGCAGGGGGCTTGATTGCTGTTCATGGTCACATTCACCTGCAGACAGTATTCACCTGCAGACAGTATAGCCAGAGCTTTGAGGTCAGTAGATTTCTATGAAGTACACACACACACACAGTTTGTGAGGCAGATTATTAAAAAAATATCTTCGAGTTTGTTTATGCCTCCCTGTATCCACTTGAACAATTCCCTACCATTCTTTTTATTTATTTGTTTTTATTTTTTAAACCATTTACAATGTTGTGTTACTTTCAGATACACAGCAAAGTGATTCAATTGTATATATGTACATATTCTCTTTCAGATTAGTTTCCATTATAGGTTATTGTAAGATATTGACTGTAGTCCCCTGTGCTATACTGTAGGTCCTTGTTTATCTATTTTACATATAGTAATATATTTATATGTTAATCCCAAACTCCTAATTTATCTCTCCCCCTCACCCCCCGGCCACAGAGTAATTCCTTCTCCCCTTTCCCTGCCCCTACACAGGGAATGTGGGGCTTCCCTGATAGCTCAGTTGGTAAAGAATCCACCTGCAATGCAGGAGACACTGGTTCAATTCCTGGGTCAGGAAGATCCCCTGGAGAAGGGATAGGCTACCCACTCCAGTATTCTTGGGCTTCCCTTGTGGCTCAGCTGGTAAAGAATGCACCTGTGATGCGGGAGACCTGAGTTCAGTCCCTGTTGGGAAGATCTCCTGGAGAAGGGAAAGGCTACCCACTCCAGTGTTCTGGCCTGGAGAATCCCATGGACTGTATAGTCCATGCAGTCACAAGAGTTGGACATGACTGAGTGACTTTCACTTCCACTTCCACAGAGGGTATTCAGGAATACGCAACACCCTCCTCACACAAAAGTCTACCAAAGAATCCAGTTCCTGAGCCTGGCCACCACGCCTGTAAAGGGCAACCAAGTCCATGGCCTTGAACACACCTAGCACACCCTCAGCCCAGCCTGCCAGCTGCCCCCTTAGCCACCACATCCCTGCCCTTGTGCCTGCCCCCCTCCCAGCCCTGCAGGGGGACCCCCCCAGGCCAGCCGGTAGGAACCGGGGACCCTCGCCCCCACGCCGACCGCCCGCACTTGGCCTGCCACTCGGACTTGCCTTGCAGACCCGTGCTTGGTGCTCGTGCTCATTTCCAGGTTCGCGGACTTGGAGCAGCGTGGGAAGGCTAAGTGAGGAGAGTCGGGAGCCCCTTCTCACCCCACAAATGATAGTCAGGCTGAAGGCTGGGAGTGTCCCAGTAGAGCCCCTGTTTGGTGGTCGTGGAGATGAGGAAGCCATCCCTGGATGCTCTGAGAACTGAGGCCTCCGGGGTCAGAGAAGCTCAGAGGGTCCAGGGGCCTCGGGGGCTTGTCTGAGCATCCCGCTGAGGAACTCAGGGGTCAGGCTCACCCCGTGTACAGCCCCGACCCCAGCCCTTGAGCAGGGGGAGGAGGTGTGTGAGCTGTGTTGCCAGGTTGCTGGGGGCGGTGAGGAGGTGTGTGAGCTGTGTTGCCAGGTTGCTGGGGGCGGTGTGGGAGCCCCACCTCCGCCCCAGTCCGTAATGACGACACTGTTGAGTCCGTTCTGCTAGCCGTTGCTTTCCAGGCCTGCAACATGCTTAACTTGTGCATGTGAATCAAGTGGCGGGGGCCCAGACCCTCCCTTCCCTCCCCCTCCCTCCCCCTCCTCCCTGGCTGCCCCCCCACCGAGCAGAGATGCTGTTCACTCTAATTCTGCTGCAGGCCAGGCACCTTTCACTCGGAATCTTAGGGGCTGTGGGGTTCAACCACTCTAATTGTTTCGCTTCAAACTTTCCTCATGCTCGGAGGAGAGAATGAATCAAGAGTCAAAGCTGGCCCAGCAGACCCTCCCCGTCTAGCCTGCTGCCCCTTGCCCAGTCACTCCAGAGCTCTGGCTGTTTGCACTGGGTTAATTCAGAGATGCAGTGTTCAATGCTGGCTGGCTCAGCTCCTTCCTGGAGAATTAAGGTGAAGAGCATTGACCCAGGACACTTCCCTTGGTTGGGCCCTGCTTTCTGGGCATGAGCTCGTTTTCCTGTGTGCCCACCGTCTACACCTGGCACCCCTTACTCCACCTACCCACCTGCTGCTGCCTGCTGCCTACCTGGCTGGGCCCTCTGCCACCCTTCCCCTGCCTCCCCCCACCATGGGCCTCCCTCCTGCCTGCCTGCTGCAGGGGCCTGATCTGGGCTCCTGCCCCATCCCACCTGCATTTGTCCCCTCCTTCTTCTTCCCAGAATCTCAGGCATGGCTTGCAACCCCTCCCTCCCAGAGCCGCAGCTCCCTCCTGCCCCCACACCCAGTGTGTTCCCTTAATTTGCCTCCGGGTGGAGCTGAAGGGCCAGATATCGAAAAAATCCCAGCTATGGATCTGGAAAGAGAGCCCCCGGGGCCCAGACAGGGCCGCCTCTGAGGGGACTGGAGGGGCTCAGCTTAGTCCTGCCCACCAGAGCACGCCCAGAGCTGGAGTCTGCCCCAGACTCACAGCAGCCCAGGGCCCAGGCCGTAATGTGCAGAAAGAAGTCTCCTTATCACACACACACACAGCACTCTCCCTCCCTCTTTCTCTTTCCTTGTCTTCTTCAGGCTTCTCAGTCCTTTCCCTCCCCCCTGGCGTCTTCTCCTGGTCCTTTTACTTTCTGCCCTCATTCTGCTTCATCTTTGTGGCTCATCGGACCTGCCAGAGTCCCCCGAGTGAGCAGTGCCTGCCCCACATGGGCCCTAGAAGCTCTCAAAGATCTTGAGTTCTGATTCAGACCAGCTGGGCCAGCTGAGGAGGCTTGGTCTGCGGTGGTGGAAACATGTCCAAGGAGCTGTCTTCCGCAGCACGTTCTTCTGGGTGGCGGAACTGCGTGGGAGCTTTGCCCTTCCTGCCAGCTCGCCTGCGTGTTTGCAGGAGGCCACTGTGCCGAGGGCAGTCAGGCTGGGCAGGGACAGAGAACTCGCCTGCTGCTGAGCTGGCAGCAGGGGCACCTGCCCAGGCAGGGCGCACCGCTCCTCCTGAGCCACTGGCCACCAGGTCTAGAGCCCTCAGAGGGATGAGGTCTGCGGACCAGGACTGGTGGCTCAGGGGTCCTTCAGGGACTTTGATCAGTGGAGACTCCTGGCATGGGAAGGTTCCGAGATCGCAGTGTTCCAGGCATCTTCCTGCATGTCTGAGAGTTTGCTTAAGAGGACTAGGCTGAATCCCGGCAGGCCAAGCCAGCTGGCAGCATTTCAGACAGCTCAGGCTTTTCTTGTTCCTTCTCTTTCTTTCTTCTCCCTCTAGAAAAACAAGTGTCTATCCCATCGCTCATAGCACAACGGGGAGGATAGGCACAGTCATCCATGACTCAGTGAAAGTACCGTATCACGCTCAGAAAGTCCAGGTGGGAAGAGTCAGGCAGCCTCTCTCTCTCTCCACCACCTCCATCTCTGGGCTCTGGACCCTGGGCCAGGCAGGCACCACCCCTGTGGTTTTCCACCAAAGGGCGACTTCATGCTGCAGCTCTGGGCACAGAGGTGGGCATGCGGCAGGGTGCTTGGGGGAGGAGACCGGCCAGGCCCTGACTGTGGCCCCCTTCCCACTCTCAGATGCTGGCGACATGATCGAGATGCAGGGCTTTGGGCCCAGCCTGCCGGCCTGGCACCTACAGCCCCTGTGCAGCCAGGGCTCCTCCTGCCTCTCCTGCTCCACCAGCAGCTCCCCGTATGCGCCCCCCAGCCACTGCAGCTGTGTTCCTGACCGGTGAGTGGGCCTATGCGTCCGAGTGTGTGTGTCAGTTTGGGCCTGTGTCACTTGCCTGACATGGGGTGGTCTTGAGTTGGACACACCTGGCTTCTAATTTCACTTCTGTTCCTCACGTGGCTCTGCCAAGTCACTGAGTCTCTCTGAGCTCCTATGTTTCTGAGCCTCAGTTTCCTCATCTGTGAAATGGGGATAATACGGCCTGTTCCCTAAGGTACCTGTGAGCACTGAATGAGGTATACAACGCACATGAGTGCCCAGAGCTGTGCCTGGCACTGGGCAAGTATACTGTTCGGTATCTGGAGCTCCTCTTCCCGGGTGGACCTGGATCCCGCTGTCAGGCTGACAATGCTGAGAATGCTTCAGCAGGTGTCTGGGCGTCTGCCATGTTACCAGGAACACTGTGTGCATGGCATTTGTGAGAGGGCCATGTGCCCACCCTTGATGCTTTCACTGGCTGCTTTTTCACCTGTAACTTCATTCTAACCCTGTTACGCCTGTTGACCCTCAGATGGCTCTCTCCATTTTCACACGAAGACACCAAGATATACTAACGCAAAGTTAGTTGCCCAAGATCCCCGGGGTGGTTGGGGACCAGGCTGGGCCCCCAGCAGCTCTACCCAGAGTAGCTGGCAAGGCCAGGGAGCCCTTGACACGTTCCCGGGCTGTAGATCCTGCTCGCTGTACCACCCAAGCTCCTCACCTGCCCCCTGAGCCTGAAGATCCTCCCTCTTTAGTCCTCCTGCCAGAGGAGCAGCCCTGAGTCAGGCTGATCCCACAGGTTGCCCCTCAGGCTGCTGTGTGAGAGCATGAAGAGGCAGATCGTGTCCCGGGCCTTCTACGGCTGTGAGTGTGGGGTGAGGTGGGGCCGCCGGAGGGGGGAGGAGGGGGCGGGCACCGGGACACGGGGTCACAGCCTCCTGGCCCCCCCCGCCCCCCAGGGCTGGCCTACTGCCGCCACCTGTCCACCGTCCGCACCCACCTGTCGGCGCTGGTGCATCACAGCATCGTCCCGCCCGCCCGGCCCCCGGGGGCCTCGGGGGGCCTCACCAAGGACGTGTGGAGCAAGTATCAAAAGGATGCAAAGGTGCGTGCTCTGGGATGCCAGGCTCCGGGGTGGCTGGGCAGGAGGCTGCAATGAGAGCCGCCCACCATGCTCTGCGAGTGGCTGTCACAGACCAAATGGGCGTTTGGGTGAAACGTGGTGCAGGCTTGGAGGTGACGGGCCAGGACGGATGGCCGTGGAGTACGGGGGTCATGGTGGAGTCTCGGACAACCAGGCCTGTGGTCTCCACGGGAAAGAGACCAGACAGGGAGTCTTCTCTGCTTCTGCATGGAGACCCTCTGCATCTCTCCAGGCTCCTTTCCTGCCCTGGAGGGGTTGAAGTAGATCTTCCTACAGTTTCGGGGTGGTGCATGGATGTGACAGTCCCAGAACCATCCCTGGCCCCAGCCCCGGCTCTCCAGCGCATGGGGTCGCCCAGCCGGCCCATACAGTCTTGCCTCCCTGGGTCCCTCAGAACTACAAGGAGCTGGAGCTGCTGCGGCAGGTCTACTATGGAGGCGTGGAGCACGAGATCCGCCAGGACGTCTGGCCATTCCTGCTTGGCCACTACAAGTTTGGCATGAGCAAGAAGGAGATGGAGCAGGTGAGGGGGAGGACGGGGGCACAGGTGGGGAGAGCCAGGCCAGGGGAACCCGGGGAGTGGAGGGGCGCCTCAGAAACCTCGGTCTCTTCCTAGCCCGAAAGATACAGGGCAGAGCGGTGCCGCCATCCTCACCCCCGGGCCCGGCCCAAGTCTCCGGCTGTCCCGGGAGGACGGCCGCCGAGGGGGGCCCGGTGCGCCCCTCCCCACCACGGTCACGCTGTGGTCTGAGCACAGGTGGACACAGTGGTGGCAGCGAGGTACCAGCGGGTGTTGGCGGAGTGGAAGGCCTGCGAGGTGGTGGTGAGGCAGCGGGAGCGGGAGGCTCACCCGGCCACACTCACCAAGTTCTTCTCGGGCAGCAGCATCGACAGCCACGTGCAGCGCCTCGTCCACCGAGACTCCACCATCAGCAATGACGTGAGCCCGACGGGACCGGGGGCCGGGGCGGGGCCACCGGCGCCGTGGGCCTGACCTCTGGTGCTCGCGGACAGTGGGGCCCTGGAGCACACGCCTCCACATGCCCGTGTGTCTCGTTTCCTTGCACTGAAAGATGGGATGATGGCCCCCCTGCTGCCTGTTTGGCGTATTGTGTTCTGTCCTAATGGACTAGCAGAGGAGGGTGGATTTATGGGGAATTAGGGAGGCACTCCTTCTCTGGGGCTTCCCTGGTGGCTGAGACAGTGAAGAATCTGTTTGCAATGCAGGAGACACAGGTGTGATCCCTGGAGAAGGAAACGGCAGCCCACTCCAGTATTCTTGCCTGGAGGACTCCATGGACAGAGGAGCCTGGCAGGCTGCAGTCCATGTGGTTGCAAAGAGTCAGATACGACTGAGCGACTAATACTTCAACACTTTTCCCTCTTTGTAGAGAGACCTCAAGGCTAGGATTGGGCCTCCCTGGGTTCCAGTCCTAAGTCCACTAGTGACAGGATGAGTGACTTCTCTTCCCATCTCTGGGGCTCAGTGCCCCCTCAGCTCCTCTGCTTATAGAGGCTTCTCCTAGAGCTGAGACTGGGGGTGGGTGTGCACTTGGAGCAGTCCTATCTCATAGAGTTGGCCATGAGAAGCCAGTTCAGAGCCTATGTGGTTCTTCCCATATCACCCCTGACTTGTAGATGAACATCAAGTCCCAATCTATGGCTGCTGGGCACAACTAGAACTGAAAAGTTTCAGTTTTTAGGACATTCTTTTATTAACTAATTTTTTTTTCTTTAAGACTGCCTCTCTAGATAATGTATATTCTTGTTACTTAACTCCTATTAACTGAAAACTCAAGTTGGAGCAAGACTTAAAAAGAAATATAACTGCCGAGGCATCCTCTCCTTTCCATGGTCTTTGTTCTGAATCCCATGTTTGTGAACAGATTCTCTTTCTGCTTTGGGTTTTGTTAAACCCCGAGTCTGAACCAGTGCCCCAGCTGCTTAGCTTGTGGACACAAGTAGCCTTTCTCGCAGGCACTAATCTAACAGCACTTCGTGCTTCTTGCCCAAAGTGAAAACTCCTTTTAAGCATCCCTTCCCTCCATAGTCCAAATAGAAAAATGAGACAGAACCGTCCAGATATGTCTCTTCTTTTCCCTGTGACTTGTCTGTGGGAGTGTGTGGACCGTTCCCCAGTCAGTAGAACATGTTTCTTTTTTCCTTCTTCCTTCTCCTCAGCTTATCCTCAGCTAATCTAACTGATGAGGTACTTGCTAGAGAGGTTTCCTGCCTTGTTCTACTACTGCACGCTCAGTCCTGAAAATAAGGAAGAACTTGTTTTTCCTAACACCTCCAGCCTGCCATGTCCCCGGGCTGCCCCAGAGGCCACACCACGACACTGTGGAAGCTGTCCCGGCCCGAGGCAGCCCATGACGGCTGTGTTTGTAGAGGCTCACTTACTCACACTGGCCATCAAGTGTCCAGGCCTCCGTCCTCCTTCTTCCCTTCACACTTTTTCTCACCAACGTGAGGCCAGATGGGGCTGGAGACGGCGTTTTCATGTTTTCCCGGAGCCTGATCAGCTGGGTCGGGGGGTTGGGGGTGTTGTTTGGCCCTCCCCCTGGGGAGGCAGTGCTGGGGAGCCATAGGGTGGGAGTGGGGATGTGAGGAGAATTGTGTCCCTTTTGGTTCTGACCCTGGAAGAGAGGCTGAGCTGAGGGTGGTGCTAGAGGGCAGGCATGAGCCCCACTGTCTTCACACCCGCCCTGTCCAACAGGTGTTTGTCTCTGTGGATGACCTGGAGCCTCCAAGGCCCCCGGGACCCGAAGACCCCAGACCAGAGGCTGAGCCGGGGGCAGAGGCAGGGCCCACAGGCATGGCCATGGTGGAGCAGCAGTCGGTAGAGTTCGACTCTCCAGACTCAGGCCTGCCTTCCTCCCGCAACTACTCCATGACCTCGGGCATCCAGTCGAGCATAGACGAGGGCCAGATGGGCTTTGAGGAGGATGACGGTGCTGGGGAGGAAGGCTCCGCCGGGATGGTCCCCGAAGCCCAGGTCTCCGAGCCCCAAGAACCCGGCCAGGAGAAGGCCTCGAGGGCCGGCGAGCTGGAGCCGGGGGAGGAGCTCGCGGCCGTGTGCGCCGCTGCCTACACTGTATGTGCTCGTTCCCCAGGCATTGCTCTCAGCGGCCCCAGAGGCAGGGGACGGCGGGGTGGCCTGGACTGTCCTGGAGGGGAGCACTGGGCCCCTCCCTCAGCAGGCACTCAGGACTCTGTGCTCCGAGGCCTTGGCTCCCTGCCCGCGCTGTGTTCCTTTATTCGGGCATCACCTCTGGCCCTTGACTTACCCCTGAGGGCCCTCCACTCTTCTAGATAGAATTACTGGACACCGTGGCCTTAAACCTGCATCGCATAGACAAGGACGTGCAGCGATGTGACCGCAACTACTGGTACTTCACACCCCCCAACCTCGAGCGGCTCCGAGACATCATGTGCAGGTGCCACTGGGGGCCGGGCTGGGCTGGGCGGGGGGCGGGGACCCTGCTCTCTGCAACGTTAGGTCCAGCAGTGCCCTGCTCCCCGGCCCTGTGCCCGTCTCATGATCGGCTCCCTAGTCTGTGTGTCCCCCCTCCTGTCATTCTTGAGGCCTTTCAGATCTCAGCTTTAGCCATGCTTCTCCAGGAAGCTTCAGCTGGTCCCCACCAGCACGTTGGGGGTGGTGATGGCTTGTCCCATCTCTCCCCGAGGGCCTGGAGAACAGTGGCTGTGGATGGTTCAGTATAGCACTCCAGTGCTTCAGGGTGGAGGAAAGGCTGACCTCTGGGTAGCCGACTGGTCTAGGGGTCATCTCCCCAGGAGTCCCCGAGGGGAGGGGAGGACAGTGCACAGCCACACAGACCCCCTGCTGTTTCAGCTATGTGTGGGAGCATCTGGACGTGGGCTACGTGCAGGGCATGTGTGACCTGCTGGCACCTCTCCTGGTCGTCCTGGACAATGGTGAGGAGAGGGCGGTGGGACTGGGCCTGGGCCGATCCAAGCTGGGGAAAGGAACGGGATGGCGTGGTCTGCATGGGGGTAGGGAACGTGAGCCAGCTCTGCCCCCCTCCCTGCCAGCCTCACGCCCACCTCCCCCACAGACCAGCTGGCCTACAGCTGTTTCAGCCACCTCATGAAGAGGATGAGCCAGAACTTCCCCAATGGGGGTGCCATGGACGCCCACTTTGCTAACATGCGCTCCCTTATCCAGGTGAGGTCTGCAGCGAGCGGGGGCGTGTGATGGGGCAGAGCTGGGCTTGTTCATTATCCACGGGAGGCTGGGGAGCGCTCCCAAAATGTGTTTTATGTATAAGCTTAGTTTCTTTCATTGAAAAATAAAAACCAGGAGAAGGAAATGGCAACCCACTCCAGTATTCTTGCCTGGAAAAGTCCATGGACAGAGGAGCCTGGAGGGCTGTGGTCCATGGGGTTACATGACTGAGCACGCCATGCATGAGGGTGGAGGGAGACAGGTTGTAGCAATAAACTGGTAGAACTAAAAAATAACTAAAAATAAAAACCCAAAACCCCATCATTTTCAACCTTACTAGTTGAGGAGGAGTGTTGGTGTATGAATGCTTATGCTTGTGAGCGTTCTGGCGAGTAGTGTGGTCAATGATGAAATCACCCAGAAAATGGCATCATTCCAAAGAGGACATCCCAGAGAAATGGGTGGGGCCGCAGGGTACAGCCCTGCCCTGGGAGAGAGACAGGAGGGGCAGATGCAGCTGCCAGGGGGGCACCTGAGGGGCCTGGGGGTGGGGAACACAGGGCGCTGGGGACAGTGCCCGCACCTATTCAGTCCAGCGCCCTTTCTCCATTCAAACCAGATCCTGGACTCAGAGCTGTTCGAACTCATGCATCAGAATGGAGACTACACCCACTTCTACTTCTGTTACCGCTGGTTCCTGCTGGATTTTAAGAGAGGTGAGAGGTGGGCTGGAGGGCAGGCCTGGGGTCGGGGCAGTGGGACATCCCCAGAGTCACTGCTTCTCAACCGCAGTGTGGAACCCCTCTGAGGAGCGCTGGTCCTCACCAAGCCCCGGACTTACTAAGTGTGGTGACTTTAAAAGCCATTAGGTGAATCCACAGTGTAGCCCGGGTTGAAAATAACCCAAAGGCAATGGTTTTCAGAACTGTTTTCAAACCAAGTCCTCCTGAGCACCAAAGCCTATAGAAGTAGAGCCTATAGGAGGCCAGGGTGCAGGACCGACCACGGAGGAGGGCGGGGCTTACCCAGCTCCAGTGGTGCGATTGTGCGCCGTTCCTGTAAGAGGAAGGGCGGGGCCTTGCCTGGGAGCCGCCCTCTCCACCCGGCCCTGCGGTGGACTGGTCCTGGAACCCGGGCCCTGAAGCTCTGTCTCCGCACGAGGCGACCGGTGGCGGCCAGGCCCAGTCTCAGCCCCCTCGCCATCCCCAGAGCTGCCGTACGAGGATGTGTTCGCTGTGTGGGAGGTGATCTGGGCGGCCCGGCAGGTCTCCTCGGAGCACTTTGTCCTATTCATTGCCCTGGCCCTGGTGGAGACCTACCGAGAGATCATCCGCGACAACAACATGGACTTCACCGACATCATCAAGTTCTTCAACGGTAGGAGCCACTCAGCTGTGCCGGCTGCCCCTGCAGAGCTGTTGCTGGGGCGGGGCGCCTCTACCCCTGGTCTGGGCAGGGTAGAGGGTGTCTTAGGAATACTGGCCGGCCCGTAAGGGAATGTCAGGAGTCCAGGCGGAAATAGAGCCGGGTGGGCGGACCCCGGGCTCCTCCCAGACTGCTGCCCCCACCGCCGCCCCCCCCCGCCACCTCAGTTATCCATGTCTCCCCCAGAGCGGGCTGAGCATCACGACGCCCAGGAGATCCTGAGGATCGCCCGGGACCTAGTCCACAAGGTGCAGACGCTCATAGAGAACAAGTGAGGCCGCGGCCAGGAGGCAGCCGCCCGCCAGAGCCTGGGCTCCCGGCCCTGGGGCCCCACGGCAGCGAGGTGCAGGGGCGGTGCAGCCAAGACTGCCCCAGCCCCCAGCCGCCGCTCCTGCCCCACTGTGTTCTAACAAAGTGCTTGTGAGCCTGGGATCCGACTCCAGGCAGTGCTGGCCCCGCCGGGCAGCGCAGGGGCCAGAAGGCCCTAAGGTCAGGGCTGGGAAGGGAGGGGTCAGCCTCAGGGAATGACTGCCTTGGGGGACACCTACTCTGCTCCCCTCCCAAATACCTGGGGACAGCCCCACTGCCACTGGCATCCTGAGCCTGGACAGCTCCCTGTGGCCTCCCTGGGGCCCTGTAGACTTAGGAGGGCTGTGGTTGCCTGGGCCCCAGCTGGGTGGATTGAGGGGACCCGGGGCTGTATCTCTTCTGAGAGCCCCTCTGCAGGCCCAGTGCCTGTGCACACACCAGCCCCAACGGGGGCAGGAGGAACAGCTGCCAGTCTGGGTGTGTGTCCTGGATGCAGGAGACCTGGGCTGCAGCCCAGGCCCTCCCCTGAGACTGCGGGACAGCCCAACAACATGGGCCCTGGTGGGAACAACCCACCTTAGCAGCACTGCCACTGCCTTTGGCCACCCGAGGTGACCCCGTGCACCATCCCCCACCCGCCAAGCCTGCACAGTGCACCCACGTGTATCTGTACAGTGTCACTCAGCACCCTGCTCCTGCTTCGTGCGTTAGATGCATCCCTGAAAACTGTGTGTGAGCGATGCTTTCGCTAGCAGAATGACATGGAATGTGGCAGAAGCACCTGCACAGGAACCCCAGGGTGATTCTTTTAAGGAGGCGGTCCTTTCATGGCCTCCTCTCAGGAACAGGCTCTGGAGCCCCGGGCAGCCCACCATCTGTTCCCGGCATCTGCTGAGTCCCTGAGGTGGAGGGGAGGGTGCTTGGATCTCCCCAGTCTGTTCTTGGCAAGAAGCAAGGCTCGCTCTTCCTTCCACATGCTTCTCAGGATGCCGAGGATGCTAGAGACCCAGGAACCCCCTTGGAGGAGCCTCACTCAGAGATGTGCTAGGGGGGCCCCAGCTCCTGACCCCAGGCAGGCCTAGTCATACCGCTTGCTCCGTCATCCCCACTGCCCCTCTCGTCAGTACAAGCAGGATGGTCCTTGTTCTGGGGCCAGGAGGCTGCTCTGCCACAGGGGCTGGGCCTGCCCAGCAATCACTGAGGTCTGGAGACTTCCTGCATTTGAGAAACGTGGGAAAGAGCCCGGCAACCCCTCTGCATCCCACACAGTCTCCCTAGCCCCGGGCACTGCACAGCCTGTTTAGGGGCAGCCTGCCCCATTGCCCACCTGTCGCTCATGAGTCCTTGGCCTCCACCAAGTATGGTGGCCGTTGTGTGCCTGCCTTAGTGACTCTGGCTTTGTGAGGAGCAGAATGTGTATGTTTTTTGGCTCAGAAACTATACTCTTCAGTGTAACAGACCAATAAACACAGCATTTGGCAATGCTCGAGGCTCTGGTGGCTATTTGTGGGCTGGCACTGGACAGTGAGTGACTGTGTGTGCTGGGGAATTCTGTAAGCTCCACGACTGAACAGTAAAGAGGACTAGCTCCACAAGGCCAGGATGGTGAAAAAAAAAAAAGAGAACCAAGGTTTCCAGAAGTGAGGGACACTGGTGGTGGAATGGTTGAAGGTGAGAGCCAGACTCTTAAGTACCTGGAGAGAACCTTTGGGGGGACCTCACCCCAGAGCCAGCAGTCCTGAGCAATGGCCTCTCCAGCCTCTGGATGCATGTGGGTCCCTGCCTGCCTTCCTGACTGGCTACAGGGATGAGCTGGAGCTCAACTGTGAATTTACAAGACCTCCCAGCCCCTCTAGCCAGTGGGAAAGGCCCCTGCCCTTCTGGCCGTGGCTCCTCCTGCCCACTGAGCACTGTCTTCCAGATGCCTGCTTCAGGCGGGAGTGGGGAGGAAGGTAGTGGCAGGAGAGGTCAAACTCAGGAATGGAAAGAGCTGGACTAAACAGCAGGTTCCTCTCCACCTGCCCCACCTCAGGGAGCCAGCCCGTCACCCATAGTTCCAAGCAGAGGGCATGTCGTCTGGTGTAGAGGACACTAGCTTTCTGGGGATTAGGGCCTACTGTCAAAGTTGTCAGAGTTTTCCAGGCAAAGAAACCAGCTGACATCAGTAACTCTGGGACCAGGACCTTATAAATAAGCCCCTCAAGGGGAACATTCCCCACCCCCAAGCTGACCGTGTAGCCCGGAGTGATCAGAATTCCCCGTTAAAACATCTATTCAGATAAACACTCTTACCAAAGTGGGTGTAGAAGAAATATATGTGCTATACTTACTCAGTCATCTCCAACTCTTTATGACCCCGTGGACTGCAGCCTGCCAGGCTCCTCTGTCCATAGGGATTCTCCAAGCAAGAATATTGGAGTGGGTTGCCATGCCCTCCTCCAGGGGATCTTCCCAACCTAGGGGATTGAACCCAGGTCTCCCGCATTGCAGGCTGATACTTTACCGGCTGAGCACCGAGAAGCCCAAGAATACTGAAGTGGGTAGCCTATCCCTTCTCCAGCGGATCTTCCCCAACCCAGGAATCGAACTGGGGTCTCCTGCATTGCAGGTGGATTCTTTACCGGCTGAGCCACCAGGGGAAGCCCACAGAGGGAATACATCTCAACATAATAAAAGCTATTTTTGACTAAGCCATAGCCAACGTAATACTCAACAGTGAAAAGCTGAAAGCTTTCCCACTAAAATCTGGAAAAAAGATGCCCACTCTCACCTGTTCTGTTCAAGAGCATTGGAAGTCCTGGCCACAGCAATCAGAAGAAATTTAAAACATACCCACATTGGAAAAGAAGAGGTAAAATTGTCACTATATGCATGATAACTATATAAAGAGAATCCTAAAGACTCCACACAAAAATACATTCAGCAAGGTAGCAGAGCACAAGATTAACATACAGAAAGCTGTTGCATTTCTTTACACTAACAATGAAATACCAGAAAGTAAAAAAGAAAAAGAAAAATCCTTTTAAAATTGCATCAAAAAAATTAAAATACTTAGGAATACACCTTACCAAGGAGGTGGAAGACTTATATGCTTAGAACTACAAAACACTGATAAAGGAAACTGAAGATGAGTCAAAGAAACGGAAAGATACCCCATGTTCTTGCATTGGAAGAATTAATATTGTTAAATGGCCATACTAGCCAAAGCAATCTATAGATTTAATGGGACTTGCTATCAAGTCTCCCAGGACATTTTTCACAGAACTAGGATAAATAATCCTAAAATTTATATGGATCCATAACCCAGAATTGCCAAAGTAATTCCAGCATTGCCAAAGCAATGAGAAAAAAAGGACAGAGCTAGAGGCATTACCCTCCCAGATTTCAGACTACAGACATCAGACTACAAAGCTACAATAAATCAAAATAGTCTGGTATTGGCACAAAAACAGATATGGAGATCAATGGAACAGAACAGAGAACCCAGAAATAAACCCACACACCTATGGTCAATTAATCTTCAATAAAGGAGGCAAGAGAATGGAGAAAAGACAGTTTCTTCAGCAAGTGGTTTTGGGAAAGCAAGACAGCACATGTGAATCAAAGAAGTTAGAACACTCCCTTACACTTTACACAAAAATAAACTCCAGATGGCTTAGAGACTTAAATATAAGACATGACACCATAAAACTCCTATAAGAGACCATAGGCAAAATATTCTCTAACACAAATCATACCAATGTTTTCTTAGGTCAGTCTCCCAAAGCAATAGAAATAAAAGCAAAATAAACAAATAGGACTTAATCAAACTTATAAGCTTTTATACAGCAAAGGAAACCATAAACAAAATGAAAATATTTGCAAATGATGCAACCAGTAAGGGCTTAATCTCCAAAATATACAAACAGCTCACACAAGTAAAAAACAAACAAAAAAAGCCAACCCAATTGAAAAAGGGGCAAAAGACCTAAATACACATTTCTCCAAGACACAGATATGGCCAATAGGCACATGAAAAGATGCTTAACATCACTAAGTATCCAAGAAAAGCTAATCAAAACTGCAATGAGACCTCACACCAGGCAGAATGCTCATCATTAAAAAGGCTACAAATAGGACTTCCCTGGTGGTCCAGTAGTTAAGAATCAGCTTGCCAATTCAGGGGACATAGGTTCAATTCCTGGTCTGGGGAGATCCCACATCCTGACGAGCAACTAAGCCCACGAGCACCAACTACAGAGCCCTGCAGTGGAGAGCGGCCCCTGCTCTCTGCAACCAGACAAAGCCTGCACGCAGCAGTGAGACACAGCCAAAAAAATAAGTGTTTTTTAAAAGTCTACAAATAATTTGCTGGAGAGGGTATGGAGAAAGGGGAGCCCTCCTACACTGTTGGTGGGGATGTAATCATAATTTTACATAGTGCTGCCACTATGTAAAACAGTATCCAGATTCCTCAAAAAACTAAAAGTGGAGTTGCCATATGATCCAGCCATCTCACTCCTGGGCACATATCCAGAAAAACCTTTAATTTGAAAAGATACAGGCACCCCTATGTTCCCAGCAGCGCTATTCACAACAGCCAAGACATGGAGGCAACCTAAAGGTCCATGACAGATGAGTGGATAAAGAAGGTGTGGTGCATGTACACAATGGAGTACTATTCAGCCATAGAAAATAATGCCATTTGTAGCAACATGGACTGACCTAGAGATTATCATACTAATTGAAGTCAGAGAAAAATGAATAACATATGCTATGACTTATACACAGAACTTAAAATGATACAGATGAACTTATGTGCAAAACCAACACAGACTCACAGACAACAAACTAAGTTACCAAAGGGGAAAGGGCATGGGGGATGGACAAACTAGTTTGTGATTAGCAGATTCAAATTCTCTCTCTATATATAAAATAGAGAACTATAGTCAATATCCTGTAATAAATCATAATGAAAATGAATATGAAAAGTGTGTGTGTGTACATCTCTGAATTGCTTTTCTGTATACCAGAAACACAGAATTGTAGATGACTCCTCTAAAAACAAAGAAAAAATCCCCTCTGCTGTTGATACCACCTGAAAACTCACCAAAGACCCCTGAGAACTAGCCTGGAAGTGGTTGGTTCCTTCACACACTCCCACCCCTTCTCTGCTCAACCCAGAAGTGCTGGCACTCCCAGACCCCTGGCTGGGCTTTTAGGGCCAGAGGGAACCCCACAGCCAAAATAGGTCAGCTGAGGGCTCGGTGTCGGGAGGGGAAGAGCAGGAAACATGAGTAGGGTACTCTAGCCCTGAGGATACCAGGCCATCACTGCCAGGGGCAGAGTCTTCATCTCTGACCCTCGTGTTGGGCACAGCATCTGACACTGAGGTGTGTTGGGGTTACCTAACCCTGGGTCTTCCCTCAAGTGCAAGTGACCAAACATTTCCTGAAGCCACCAGCAGAGGGAACCAGCGTTTCACAAATGAAATGAGCAGGCAGTATTGTTAAGGTAGTGGGGAGGGGCACTGGGCTTGGCCCTTCCTGAGATTAGGTCTTCAGAGAAGGGGACCTCAAGTGATTGATGGCCATCAGGCCCTTCCCCAAGATAACGCCCCACACCCCTCAGGCAGACCCACCCCGGGAAGAGAAGCAGGCCGCGGTTTCAGGGAGAGCGGATGGGGCTGGCCTACGGCTTGGCCCAGCTGACTGCTCCCTGACCTTCCTCTCCCTTACCTCCCCACCTGCTGGCCCGCCCCCCGATGGCTTACATTTTCTAAACTGGGGAGAAAAGTTGTTGTTATAGGGTCAAAGGTCTTCAAGGCCCAGCTTAGAACACGGCTCTTTGACCCCTGACCTACTTCCTCTTCTTGTTCCTTACCCTGTATAGACAGCCTTATAGATCGCACACACCGACCATTCCCCCCATGACCTGTTCTAACTACAACCCCAAGAGTGCAGCCCCCTCTCAGGAAGCATCAGGCCCTCCTGTGCACAGACCCTCCAGCTTTTGTACTGGAACTTTCTGGAGCTTGGGATCCCCAGCTCCGGAACAGGGACAGGCCCAGGGGCAGGGTGGCACGTGCTTGGGGACAGCTCTGCGCCAGCTGACATCGGACTGCAGCTCCAGACAGGCCCTGGCTGATCACATGACCTTAACAAGTCACTCAGCCACCCTCAAACTTGTGTCCTTATCTGCTAGCTGTTGGTCTGTTTACTTCACCAAGCTGTTAAGAGATGAAACAAGATAGCGTTTGTGAAAAATGGTTTGAGGAAGTATAAAGTATTGCACAAGTATGAGGAAGACGAGCGCTGCAGTTCTCAGAGCCTGCTGAGGATGGAGCCCAAGGGGTCAGAACTGGAAGGTCCCTCGCCGTCTCTGCAAAACCCACCAGCCTGGAACCTACCAGACCCCAACCCCTCAACAGGAAAAAGACGCTGCCACTTCTTGCTGGGGCTCTTTCCCTCGAGGACTCTGCCTCCTTTTGCAACAGAACGACCCAGATGCTGCAGGTGGCAGCTCCGTCTCGGGTTTCAGTGCAGGTTTATTTCAATTTTATATTTTATTCCAGGCAAGTGCTTATTACATGGATAGTATTCATGTCTCAATACCTAACGTCTTGGAGCATGAACAGCCACTAGAATACAGTTCCATAGTAAAAATACAATATGTACAAAATTAGGGTTTTTGTAGTTTTTTTTCCCACACAGCAGATGTATCCAAACACATAAAAATCTCTACAGTCTGGGGTCGCTACAATTTATATTTCAGGAAACGGAGACACAGTGACCGAGTCCTCACTGTAAACAAGGGCCACCTCTTTGTGGGGGTGGGGGCGTGGGGGCGGGACTCCGGGATGGGGAGAAGAAGCTGTTCCTGGAGAGGGCAGGGGTTATGGTGACCCCCCAATTCCCTTCCAGGAATTCCCTGCCCTTCTTTGGCCCCCCTAGGAACCAACCTCCCCCTCTCCCCGAGGTAAAGACTCCCAGCCAGTGAGCCACTCTGAACATCAAAAAGTAAAACACGCATGAGAGGTAAGATATGTGTGTGTGTGTGTGTGTGTGTGTGCATACACACACACGTGCGTCCCCCAGGCTGGAAGGGCTAGGGAGGGGAGGGGCAGGCGGTCCCATGGGGTGAGGACAGATGTGGTCCCCACAGCGCTCAGAGGGGAGAGGCCCAAGGAAGGGCTGGGTGGCGGCTGCCCTCTCGGGCACACGGCATCACAGCGTTCACGAACAACAACAAAAACAACAGCAACAACACCCATTGTCACCAATCTGGACATAGTCATTCGGCACTAGATTCCAAGGCCCCCCACTGCCGCAGTAGGGGGCGGGGAGGGACACGGGCAGCGGGCGGATGAGGTATCTGTGCAGGCCCGAGGGGCAACTGGCTAACAGAACAATTTCAAGGTGAGCAGGCCTGAGAGGAGGGCGGCTTGCCAGTGCTTCTGTTCCTGGGGGCCAGCCTGCCCTCCTCTCTCTGCTCTTTCCAATGTCATCACACCAGGAAGAGAAAACCAGCTCCCCCCCCAAATAGGGTGATAGTGGCAGCAGCTGCAGGTGCAGGAAGGCAGCAAGCTTGTGCGATGGGAGCTGCATTTGGGTTGGGGGGAGGTGGGGGACAGCGTCACCTCCTGGAAACCTCTAACGTATCTGTAAGTCTCTCCACCCTGGGAGACAAGAAACAGTCTCCAGGGAGGTCTCCAGGACCAGAAACTGAAAGGGAGTTCCAAGGTGGCTCAATCTACCCAAGACCTTTGTCGGCCTCCTCTGTGAACCATGGGGCCTCCACCACCCCCACCCCGCCCCAGCCTGTCATTGCAAACTTCACACCCAGGATCACTGGCTCCCCCACCTCCACACTCTGAAAGGCCACTGGTGAGTGTGTCCAGGTGGGGAGCCGAGTGTGCACGCGTGTAACTGAGTGTGTCTGACACAAGGCCACTTGTAATAAATACCCACATAAAAAGAGCAGCCAAAGCAGTCTGCTGAGGCGAAGGCATGGAGAGCAGCGGCCTTCACACACAGGCCCCTCACTCCTCCCCACCCCAAGCTCAGCCCTGCCAGCGGCCCAAAGGAGGGCCTTTCCTCGCAGGAAGGGGGTGGCACACAGCAGCGCCCCCTGGGGGAGGGCACATGCAAAACAGCCTGCCGGAGACAGCAGGCATTCAGGGCAAAGAAAGATGAGCCCAGGGATGGGGAAGCTGGGGCGGAAGCAACAGTCCTCTGTGGCCTGGCCATGCTTGCTCCCCACAGGTCCCCAGGGCGAGCCCCTGGACTGTAACCTCCTGATTACCTCACCCACGCGGCGCCAGGTTCCTGGAACCCAGACCAGACGCTGGTCCTGTCTCCTAGGCAGCAGGTGGTGTCCAGGCACACTCATCCCTCCAGGGAGTGCAGAGCACGGAGCAGAACCCAGGCCTCCTTTCTATCTTCTGGAAGCCAAAGTCAAGTCCAGGGATGGGGAGAGGGTCCAGCGCACCCTCCTCCCAGGCCTGACCTGGCTGGAGGTCAACAGGGTGGCTGGGGGAGATAGTCAAGTCCCTCCTTCCTCACCCCTGCCCTCAATTTGCCCTCTTGAAGTCAGGAGCCCAATGGTAGGGCGGTTGGGGGGTTGGAAGCTTGGCAAGGGCTTGGGTTTGGTTTACTATTGGTAGAGAACTGTCTTAACTAGCTCGTTACGGTCAAGCACAATGACTGCAACCAGCCTGGAGAGCCCCAGGCCGGAGCACCCACCTGTCTGGAGCGACGCCACACAAGCCACCTCCTAGGACTTGTCCCCTGCACTCAGAGTACTCTCCAGTTCCCCTGGATATCAGGGCCAAGTTGCTTGAGTCCTGCTTCCCCACATCCCCCTTCAGAACCCTGGAAGGAGAAGGCTGAGGCTCGGGAGGGGAGGGCCCAGGCGCCCGGCCGTCTCGCCAGACACAGCGATAGCAGCAGCAGCAGCAGAGGAAGGCGGGCAGGGCGGGGCAGGCGGAAGAACACGACATCCACATCACACTGGTGTCAGGGGACGGGTGGGGGACGGGGACGGCCCTGGAGCAGGCACCAGGCCGGACAGGTGGCACGTGGGCCAGAGCGTGTCTCGGCACTCTGTCAAGTCCTAGTGCAGCGGGGTGACCCCTGCCGTGTGTCCGGCTCCCTGGGCCCCCTCCCTCCCCTGGCTCAGAGTCTCTGCACCCCCTTCCCCTAGGAGGCCTGGGGGTGGGTGTGGGTGGGGCGGGCCTTGGCCTGGCTGGAATGTGTGGAGCTGGTGGGTGGGAGAGTCGGGGACGGGTCTCCCTCCCTGCCCCCACCGGGGGCCTCTGAGCGGCCTCATCCTCAAGCCAGCTTGAGTGTGCTGACCGGGAAGGAGGGCATGGTGACCATGGTGACAGGGTTGAGCACTGTCTGGCCCACCAGCTGGGGGTGGTGCACCACCTGAGCCCCCACGGCTGGCTTTGCCATGACTGTGGCCGGGGGCCCCAGCCCGGCTGTGCCATTCACTTGCTGGTGTGAGAGGGTGTGGGCGATGTGGCTCACAGCCACCGGCTGGCTCACTGCCACGGGCTGCGGGTACAAGGGCAGCTGGGAGCCAAGGTGGGCCACGTGGTTGAGGGTGGCAGGGTGCACCGTGATGTGGCTGATGGGGGGCGTGGCCGGGGCCAGCTGCACAGCAGGGCTGGGGGCCGAGGGCGCTATGTGGGCGATGTGCTTGCCCCCCGGCCCCTGGAGAACGTGGTTCACAGTCTGGATGACTGAGGCGTGGGTGGTGGCGGTGTGGGCAATGACCGTGGACCCTCCCCCGGCCGCCACGAGATGGGCCGGGGCGGGCACCAGCGTTTGGGCCGGGGCCGCTGGTGGGGGCGGAGGGGCCGGCAGAGGTGTCTTCTGCTGTGGCGGGGGCTGCTGCCCAGGGAGGTGGGCAGGAGACAGGGCCACAGGCTGGGCGTGCGGGTGTGGGTGCGGAGGCAGAGGCGCGGGGGCCGTGCTGGGCGGTGGCTTCGGCAGCTCCAGGTGGGGGCGATGGCTCAGCTTATGTGGACCCAGGCCAGCCTGGTCCTCCATGTCCTCGTCTATGTTGTCCTCACCCTCTGTGGAGGGACACGCAAGTAGGGACCAGTCAGAAGGGCTGGGGAATGAGAGCCTGGAGAAGCAGATGCCCCTGGGGCTCTGGGGATGTCACAGGCCGAGGGTGGGGGCAATGCAGGGCGGGCAGGGCTCACCAGAAGCTGTGGAGGTGGAGGCCTGGTCGTCCTCAGGCTGGCCCGTCTGCCGGAGCACGCGGTCGATCTCCAGAACGTCCATCCACTGACTCAGCTCGTGCTTGAGCTCCGCCAGCCGCTGCTGTGTGGCAATCTTCTCCCGCGCCAGCCGCTCCATCTCATGCTCGTATTCTTTCTCCTTCCTCTTCAGGGACTGGAGAACAGGGCAAGTAACAGCAGGATACCTTGAGCAGGAGCCACAGGGCCCATGGTACTGCCAATATCTCCTTCACCCACCCTCATCTGCGGATCGGGGCCCAGGCTGCCGGAGACCACACCAGCCTCTTGGTTCATGGCTCCACCTAAGAAGCATCTGGAGACAGACTGCGGGCTCTCAGGCAGGTGTAGATTCAGGCCAGTCTCTCCCCTACCCCCACATCGACTCTGTCCTGAGGGGCTTTGATGCCTTGTACCCCATCCACCCTCCTGGGAGCATCTCCCTCCATTCTGCAGAGAAGGGCAGAAAGTGTAGACTTCTCAGGCGGTGCCAAGGCCTGCACTGCCGTTCACACCATCCTGTCGCTACAGATGCGGATACCACGAGCTACCCTCCGTGGAACCCATTCCTCAAGGCTCCCCAGACGATCCTGCCCTTTGTCCCTTCGTCACTCACTCGTCTCCTGACTTGCGCATGTCCTCCCCACGGTGCCCATCTGCGCCGCCTCGCACATCGCTCTATTCCCACACTCCCCAGGCCCCGGGATGTGGCCTTCCTACCCCACCTGCACCTGAGTGGCATCGGCCACTGAGAAACAGCTCTTGGGAGGACAGCTCCTCACCCTCCACCTGAGTCACCCCGGAGAGGCTCCTCCCGCTTGACGCTGAGGCCACCCACATCACTCAGAACACCGGAGGGCGCTCCTTGTCCGCCGCCACCCAGACTGGGGCACGCTCCCCCATCAGAAGGGTCTCCAGTTTCCCTTCGCCCAATGCTTGTTAGCAGCTCTGGAAGGCCAGTTCCTGTCCTGTTCCTCAACTCCCTTCTGCACTGTCTTTCCTTGTTCTCTGTGACCTCCTGTCTGAAACTTTATTACCTCCTCACGCCTCCAGGTCTCACCCGCTGGAGCTCCTCCACAGCCCAGCCCCCTCTCACGCCCTCTGGATATACCCGCCTGCTCCCAGGCTCGCAGGTCTTGGGAGTGGCACCCCGCACCGCACTGCCCTCCACCCCAAGCGTTCAGGGAGACTGCCAGCCTTAATGAGACTGACATTGGCCCTCACGACCCCCTTGATATTTCCCATTTTGTTTTTCCATCTCAATACATGCTGTCCCAGTCCAAACCCGTGAGCAGAGTACACACTGTTCTATGGTTAACTTACACCCCGTGACACTGCGGGTGGCCAGGACACAGCCACGGGTGACCTCTTGGCCAAGCACCTGTGAGGACTAGAGGGTGTCAGTCCCCACCTCTACCACATCTCTCCCCATCATCACAGGAGAATCACAGTCTCTCATTAGACTTGAGCTTCCCCTGATTGCATTTCCTTTGGGCAGTTTTGCAACAGCCTTTCCCGACGGTTCACCTGACCTCCTGGGCACAGCAGGTCGTCAGCTGCACACAGGACTAGGCCCGACTTCCCCATGCTCCCTCCTGAGCCCCACGCTCTCTCCTGCAGCCCCCCGCCACGCTCCTTGCATTCCTGGCCTCATTGGTCAGAGATGCCTCAAGCCATGAGTGCCTGTGACACGTAGCCCAGACACAGCTGTGCTGGGCACTGACCTGAGAGCCGGCAGCTTTACACTTTTTACACTTGTTGCCAGTCCCAGGCCACACTCAGCCTCCTCTATCACCCTGGCTCCGAGATTAACCTGCCTCCCCCCCAACATTTCTGCCAGAAAGCTCCCCCACTGCCCCACTCCCCCCACACACACCCAGTTTCTCCCTGAGAGGCCAGTGGTAGACAGGCCGTCGGAAGGGGCCACGACGATCACGAGGTGTGGGGTGAGTCAGCCCTCAGGCCTGTCCTGAACTCTGTGCACTAGCGGGGCTGGCTGACTGCCGGCTCAGAGAGAATTAATCAGGAGCCAAACCCCTCTCACCTAGTCCAGTTCTCCACAGGTCTAGACGTCCCTGGAAAGTTTTCCCAAGGTCTAACTTTTGTCCCTATTGTTTCATTTTAAGCCCATTTCCTTTCTAAGAAGACTGGATGTGTTGTTTGGTACCTGCCTACCCTACTTCCTGTTTCTGTCCACTTCTCTGAGAACTTTCTTCAAATCCTTTACCTCCAAGGCACTGTGGCTCTGGCTGGGGGCTACAGCCTTCCCAAAGCACACAACCTCCCTCAGCACACAACCAAAGTCTTCAGTCTCCACTCCCTCTGTGGTCTCTCTGGTACCCCCTTCCAACTCCTATCTCAGCATAGCAACTCTCCTGACCTCGTTCAACTTCCAAAATGCATCTTGCTCCCTTCTACTGTAAAAACTCTGGCCTGTGCTGGGTTCTCTGCCCCGCACTTGTCTTGGTCACCCTGGCCTTCAGGCCCCAGCTCAAAGGCCCTTTCCTCAGCAGCAACTTCCCCAACTCCCCAGAAAACATGCTGTGACCCCTGTCCAGACTATGCCCTTGGAGCAGATTCCTTTGCTTGGTTATTCTATAATGTGCAGTAAGACCAAACCTAAAGACAGAAATCTGCACTTTTTCCCTTGCTCCCCACTTTTTATCTGCCCAATCAGACACAGGGCTGTCCAAAAAACCCTGAATGAGTGAACGAATAAATGAAGTTGAAGTTTTATGGAGAACCTTGTTAAGTTTCCCAGAATTTCTCCTTCGGTTGCCAGCCCCAAGACAAGTATCTTTTACCGACTGCTAGGGTCCACCTTGCTTCCCACTCAGGCCAGGCCCATATCCCAAATCTGCTGGTTCTACTGAGTCTCTTATTTCTGGATGTACTTTCAAATCCACCATCTCGCAGTCAAGGCTTTCCGCCCTAAGTACGTCTATACAGAGAGGAACGCTCCGTTCCATCCTTCTTCCTTCTCAACAATTGCTATTAAGTTACTGTTTACAAATGGCCAATCCTCCTCACGTCTTACCACAAAGATACTAATACTTTTTCCCACTTTAGTATCATCGCAGTACAAGATGAAACCGATATTCACAGAAAATGTCGCAGAATTTAGGCAGTTTGCTCCCAGGCTACATGATTTCCTGTAGCTGAAGGAGTAGCAACTTAAGTCTCCAGCCTGAGTTCTGCAGAAACATCCCAGAAAACACCCTCCCGGAGATCCTCTGAAACTCGACGCTGGGCCCCCTCCCCCCTTCCCCTCCGCGGCCACCAACGAGGCCCCGACCCTCCCGGAGCACGCGCGCACCCACGCGGACCCGGCTTTGCTGCGTCACTCCCCACTGGCTGCACCCTCCCTCCGCGCGCGCAGGAGTCCCGCCCCCTACCCAGCCCCGCCAATCCGCGGACCCGGACCCGCCCCTCCCGTGCCGGGAAGCGGCCTGGAGTCGCGCCAGCCCCTCCCCCTCGTCCGGAGGGCGGGCGGAAGGGCGCGCGTTCGCGGGAGGCCGGGAGGGAGCTGGGAGTAGTCCCGAGGCTGCGCCACCGCCCGCCTCCTTCGACAAGTCAGGCTCCGGTTACCTCAGGGCTGTGACCCCGCAGTCGAGGCCTGGCCCACCTGAGCTGTGACGCCGCCCATCTCCTAAGCTTCCCAAGAGCGCCGACTGGGAGACCCCGAAACTGCCCCCGCAGTCCGGGAGGCCCCCTCCCACTCCTCAACGGCTACCTCCCGGCTCCGCGGCAGCCGAGCGTGGCCGCCTGCCCCACCCCCACAGACTCCTTCCCGGCACGCGGAACCCTCGGCCGGTTTCCAGGGAAACCGAAACTCGGGCCGTCATGGCAACGGTCTTATCTGGCGGGCACCCCCCCTTTCCCGTACGGCCGAGAGGAGCCACTGCCAAAGGCAGGGGACACACGGCAAGGAGGGCCTCTTGAAAAAGGGCTTCTTTTAAATCCTGGGGGAGGCAGAACATAAGGTTTTAGGTTCAGTGACACCCCCCCCCCCAGGACTACTGTCATCCAGAGTGCCGCATTTCCCCTTCCCCAAGGTTTAATCCCCAAAGTCGGGAGGTGGCATCTATGTGCGCTCAATGCAAGGATCTTGATCCTTTGGGGCTAAAAGTCCAGGACGCGTGACGGGGTGGGGCGTGTTTCATGGGTTCCACTACGGGAAACGAGCCACGCCCAGCACCCCTCACCCCCTACGGTAGAGTCTCGTGCCGAATCCGGTTCCCGCCCAGCACTGCGGGCACGAAGGAGGCACCGGTCGCCCTATGTCCTTCCCATTCGCTGAGCAGTAGCGCGCGGCAGGCGGTAAGGCGGGGCGGGTTCCGGGCTGACACTGAGTCGCGGGGGCCGTGCGGACGGCGGGGCTCCGTAAGGCCGCCCAGCGGGGGAGGGGAGCCGAGCGCCACCGCCGCGCTCCCCCGCGCGTGCGCGCTGGTCACACCGCCTCCACCCGGGTGGGGAGCCCCGCTGACGTCAGCTGGGCCATGTGCTCGGCGCCCGCGTGGAGGCGGGCGGGGCCGCGTGAGGGGGAGGCGGGGCGTGCAGGCAGCCTAAGTGGCGGCGGTCTCCCGCCCTCCTCTGGGCCTTGCTTCTCCCCCCCAACCTCGCATACCTGAATGTACCGCAGCGCCGTCCGCAACACGCTCAGATTCGATGTCTTCTTGTCGTCCACGTTGGGGATGTTGCGCTTCAGGGTCTCAAAGCATTCCTTGAGATGGGCCCTCCTGGGGAAAGGGAGCAGGGCCGGTCAGCCAGCGCCAGGGGCGGGAGGGAAGGTCCAAAGAGAGCTTGGGGACCAAGGATGGGACCTTCCGGGTAGCTGGCGGGGCGGGCTCATTGTCACAAGCTCACACACACACACACACACACACCTGTTCTTCTCCAGCTTGTTGTGGACTTCTCTGGTTCCGATTCTGAAATCCAGACAGACAGGGAGCTCAGGGAGGAGGGCCCAATTAGGTGGCCTTCCCACCCCCTGCCCCCACCCCTCCCCAGATGCCACAGGCTTTTATAGACATCCTCTCTATAGAGAAGCAGCCCTGAAAACTGTTGGCCCTGTGTCCTGGTGCATACACCCTCTGGAAGGCACGGGTAGGCTCATAATTCACAGCCCCTTCATATTCCACCTCACCCGTGCACCTGTGAAGGGCTCCTGGGATTGGGAGAAATAGCCAGTGGACCCTGGCCCTCACCCAGGAGGTCCAAAGGCCTGGTGATGCCATTAGCCCCAACTTTAGAGGGGATCAGAGAAGCCTGAGAACAACAGAGGGCAATGACCATTGCCCACTCCCCAGGGTGGGGACGGTCCCAGCACAGTGAGAAGATATCCAGATACAGGAGGGTGCGGCTCTGATAGGGTAGCGGGGAGGGCACTTTCTCTTGCACACACAGCCCCAGCTGTGGGCAGTTCTCTCCATCCCACCAGCCCCCACTCTGCCACACCTCACTCACCCCCCAGGCCTCTTCTTCTGTTCACTGGATTTGACTTCTTCAGCGGGTGCCAGCTTCAGGGTCCCAAGCGTGGATGGAGGTGGCTGTGGGGGAGCCAGCTGGGGCTGGACTCCGGGGTGTGGCGCAATGGTCAGGATGGGGGTGGGCAGGGGCTGCAAGGGCTTGGGGCTGCCAGTGGGCGGAACGGTGGCCTTGGAGTCCGGCAGGAGAGGAGCAGGAGTGGGCACCTGCGGCCTGGTGGGAAGGGGGGCAGGCTCCTTAATGCTGAGTCCAGGGGTGCTGACCAGGGCTGGCTGGCGAGGCGCCAGGGGCAGAGGCTGGGCCGTGGGGGGTAGTGGCGGGGGTGGGGGCAGAGGCTGAGGGGAGTTGGTCACTACTGGAATAGGAATGACAGTCAGTGGGGTGGGGGTGGCCAGTGGTGGCGGGGGGGCCGGCGGAGGGGCCGGTGGTGACAGAGGCAAGGGCGGTGCCTCAGTGCGGGGCTCCTCCACTGGCATGGTGTGGGCCAGCCGCGCCAGACTGCTGGCCTTCTTCTGCTCCTGTTCCCTCTCCCGCTCCAGGCGAAGCCTCTCCTGTTCCTCTGCACAGAGAGAACACAGCGGTCTCTCAGCGGGGCCTGCCGTCCTGGGCGCCCCAGCTCCCCTTGTCCTCCAACTGTAACCCATCCTGACCCCACGCCAGGCAGCACCCATGACATCACAAATACATACACTCACCCACACCCAGCCAGGCACCGGGCACAGCAGTGAACAAATAAAACAGACTCCTGGTCTTTGCTGTTGAGGAACTCATAGATCAGGGGAGGAGGGGCATAGGACAAATCACAGGATTAACAACCCAGGTTGTGGGAAGAGAGGGGCTATGGAAAGACAGAGCAGAAGCTCTCAGTGAGGGTGCAGGAGGGGGCCTGGCACACTGCAGGTTGAAGTGTCAAGCAGGTGATGGGCAGGGCAACAAGGCTGAGGGAAAGGAGTGGTAGATGAGGTGGAGAGAGGCCAGTCCACAAATGATCTTACAGGCCACCACAGGAGAAAAGAAAGTGCAAGTCGCTCAGTCGTGTCCGACTTTTTGCAACCCCATGGACTCTACAGTCCATGGAATTATCCAGGCCAGAATACTGGAGTAGGTAGCCTTTGCCTTCTCCAGGGGATCTTCCCAACCCAGGGATTGAACCCAGGTCTCCCACATTGCGGGCAAGTTCTTTACCAGCTGAGACACAAGGGAAGCCCAAGAATACTGGAGTGGGTAGCCTATCCCTTCTCCAGCAGATCTTTCTGACCCAGGAATCAAACTGGGGTCTCCTATATTGCAGGTGGATTCTTTACCAACTGAGCTATCAAGGAAGCCCCACAGGAGAAGAGAAGAGGCAGTCAAATCCTAGATTCTGGGGAGCTACCTTCTAGAGGGCAGGCATTACCTTCATTTCACAGATGAGACAGATTAGCTCTAAGAGGCAAAATGATTTGTTGAGGGTCATACTGCAAATACACACACACACACACACACACACACACACACACGCCCTACACCCAGTTGTCTCACAAAAGCCCCACATGCAAGCAAGGCAGGGACATCACCTTCAGCCCACACATGAAACAAGGCCCGGGACTCAGGACTGCCATGCTAAGTCCCAAAGCCTGTTTCCTCAATCAAGGTCTATACCCCAAATGCACCTGGTCCTTCTCTGCCCTTGGTTGTGCTGGAACTTATTCCACCACCACCAGCAGCAGACTAGAAAGGGAAGAGGCAAGCAGAAAGGAAAGCAGGGCTTTTTAACAGGGGTTGAACAAGGCAATGAATTCCGACAACCTTGCACACCTCAATTCAGCATCTCCGCTGAAAGCCCCACCAGAAGGGGAGGCCTGCTCAGGGCTGGGCTGAGAACAGGGCCAAGGGAGAGACCCCTCCTGATCGAGACGCCCCTCTCCATCCCCACCCTGCCCCATCCCCTCCCAGGCCCCACAATTCCAGTTCCCTGGCTATAGGCTGGGGCCAGGGCCCTGGGGAGCCACTGAAGCAGCCCCACCACCCCGCGGGCCAGGGAGCAGGCCAGCCCTCCCCGCCTGCCCGATTCACCACACTGCTGAGTAACAGAGCTGACAGCACAAGGCGGACACGCCCCAAACACACCACCACCCACAAGGGGTGGGACTGGGGGGGCAAGGTTGGCCAAGTGCCCCTGTAGGGGAGGACAGCATCACCCTCTCCACAGGTCTTTGGGCCAGGGACCCCAGAAAACATGCGGCCTCGGGGCCCTTTGGCCAGTCAACCACCGGTGTGTGAGCCAGGCCTGCTCAGAGCCCCTCCCTCCTGCCGAGAAGAAGAGGCGCAGGAGGAAGTAGGGGGAAGTGTTCTGAGAGGGGAAGCGCTCAGTGGTTTCCCAGCAGCCAGCATTCAAGGGCTGGAGTCAGCAAGCGCAGCCTCTTCCGTGTCTCCCCCGGCCCCTCAGGAAGGGAAGCTGCCCGGCCTGCTCCAGCGGGCTCCTTTACGCCACCAGCGCTGGCTTCCTTTGCGGCCCTGGAGAACACCCCCCCCGCCCCCCCGCGCTCCCCTTTCCACACTGGGAAAGAAACCTGCTGAGTTCAGTCAAGGAGACCTTCTCAGGCCCAGCCCAGGACACCCCTAGTCCACTCCGCACCTCCCCAGACCCCAAGCCCAAGACAAGGTCCCGGAGCTCAGGGCCCAACACAGCCCTACCTCCATTCCTTTGAGGCAGGACTTGGGCTTTCACTGGCCTCGGGGCAAGTGAGCCCCTCTCCCACAAGCAGGGGGACAGACAGGGCCTCAGGACCCAAGGTCAGGCTCTCTAGGAACCCAGAATGGAGGCAAACCTCAGATTCCCCATATTTCCTTTCCTGTATTCCCCACATTTTAAGGCAACTCCAAAGCTCCACCAGAAGATGGCAACCTTCTCATATACCCTCTCTTCGGAGTCAGGCAGGTGCCAGGCTCACAGGTGCCAGGAAGGGCCCAGGTTGAATGGCCAAGCTCTATCACACCTGGATCAGCATGAAAAAGCTTAACTGGCGCTGAAGAGGGGGGCAGTCCAGGCCAGATCCAGCCCACTAAAGCCTCCTGCCTCCTCCTGGCCTGTTCTGACCCATCCCTTGCCCAGTATCGACCCTTCTCCTGTGCACTGGGAAGAGGGAAACAAAGTGGGGAGGGCAAACGAGTTTTAGCAATATGGGTTTAAGCTCTTTAATGCTCTGCTGCACCCTTAGGTGCACCCCTCTTCTCGTTCCCATACATGCACACACATACTTTGGCACCTTCCCTGGACTCTGCCCAGAAGCTGCCCCCAGAGAACTGAGCACCACCCTTCTAGGTGACCCAGGGGCCAAGGCTACAGCCCCCAATGGAGAGTACAGGCTTTGAGCTTCCCCAAAGCCACTGTGGCCCAGGACCTCAGCCAGCACACAGCTGGGGCCAGAGGAGACCATATCAGGGGCCTCCCAATGTTCAGGGGAGTTCTCACCTTCTACATGTAATAAGGAGGTTGGTGCAGAAGGCAGGCACAGGGTGGGACTAGCTCAGAAGAGGGTCTCATTTGAGTCAACTTCTATAATTGATAGAAATGACCAGGCCTCCATGCTGGCCACCAGGACGGCCTCACCCTTTCCCCTCTCCCCTCATGTACCAACATGAAGGTGCACACACATCCTTGGACTCATCATGTGAACAAAATAGCTGGTCTAGGTCAGAAAACAGTCACTTGAGGCCTGAAGTTGAATGGGGGCCCAGACAAGAGGATCCCTGTTCAGGGCTGCCCATCGGGTACACATCCCCCGGAAAGCAGTTCTGGTCAGCAAGCTCCCCAGCAGCACCCCCACTTCTCTTCCATTTCTCACCACCCCAACTTAGAGAACAAAACCCCTAGTAGGAGCAAAACATGAATTCTAGAGATTAGGTTGCTGCAGCCAAGTCAAGCTATCTGTACATGAGTTTGGGGAGTAAATCTGGCTTTCCAGCATCCATCCATCCATCCCTTAAGACCACCTGCTCTACCAACAAGAAGCCTTAACTGCCTCCCTCTAGTTCTCACCACCTGAGGGAGGGGCAGGGCACTACAACTTCTTATCGGAGAGCCATTCCCAGGTTCCTTCTAAGTGTTGCAGACGTCATCCTTGTGATTCTTACTCTCAGCTCTGGACTGACTTATTTCGGAAAGGGTGGTAGACATCGACAGTGAGCGTTTTCTCCCCTCCCTCACACGGCCAACCAGCCTGCGGGGTAAGTGAAGGTGAAGGGAGTGTTCCTTTGGTCAGTCCTGCTGCCTCCAGCACAGTGGGCGGTACACAGTGTGGACACAATAGGGACTCCTGAATTGCACTGTGGATGGCGGTAGCAGGTGACTCAGTCTCTCCAAATCTTGTGCACGCTCCTCCCCGAGCCGCTGGTCCCGCACGCAGGACAGTCTCGGTCGCCACCTGCACTGTCCACCGCCTGACCCTGATCTGGACCTCGAAGAAAGGGGGAGGGGCGCGTGAGCCGACGTCCTGACCCCTCAGTTCCGAAAACCCAAGCATTCTCAGTCTCGCGTATCTCAAGTGACTCTTGACCTTGAGAGGCCGGACGAACCGACTCGGCCGGCGGACCCGCGGCTCCCCCGCCCCTGCCCGCCGCTACTCCCCCCGCCCGCCGCGGTGGCGGTACACGCTGCAGGCGCGCGCGCGCGCACCACACACTACTACCTCCTGCATGACTCATCATTGAAGCAACAATAGGCAGAAAGGAGAGGAGGGCGAAGCACTCTCTCCACCACAACCCACCCGACCGGGGGCTGGGGGCAGTGGTGGAGGGGGCAGCAGTCCCCGGATACTGCACACACGCCGCCGATCCAGCGCTGCGACCCTCGCAGCAGTCCGGAAAACGGAGGTCTTCCCCTGGCCCCTTTCTGCAGCACCCTGAAGCTGGGGCCACCAACAAGGGCGCGTGGGGATAAGGGCATCTAAAATCCCCTTATCGAGAGAGCACCAAAGTTTGCCCCTTCTTGCCCGGCTCATTTCACTTCGCGGTCAGAGGTGCTGCCAGGGGGTCCTGGTGAGAACGTTTTGGCGGGGGGGGGGGGGTGTTACTGGGAGCATGTGAGCTCTATATATCCTGTCGCTCGGCGATTCTGAGGGTTTCCCTCGCCCCAGGAGCAAAAACGGGAGGTCGGGGCGAGAACCGACAGGTGAGCTCGGCTCCTCCCACGTAGGGCAAAGGCTCTACCAGGCAGATGCCCAGCGGCCAGAGCCAGGGCCCAACCCGGCTCAAGGCCCCTCGTCAGCCCCGCCCCGGCCCCGCCCCCGGCCGAGCGCTAGGCTGCGGGGAGGGGCTGGGCCGCGCTGTCCCCAGCGGGAGTGTCCCCCGTGCACGTGGTCGGGGGCGGGGCCGGTCCACGTCACCACCCGGTGTAACCAACGGGCTTGGAACGCAGGCACACGCAACATTCCAGCCGAGAGCGGGTTTGGAACGCGTAGACACGCCACATTCCACACCGGCTAAAGTGGGGCGCAGCAAGGGGGGCCCGGGGTCTGCCCCCGGCGACCTGCGGGCCGTCTCGCAGATGTCCAATCAGCCCGGCTCTCACCCAAACCCCTGTCGCGCGACCCAGCCCAGCTTTGGGAGGCGGGGTCAGGCGGGGCTGGCCAGGATCATAAGACACGCGATGTCACTTCATTCTGCAAAGGCCGCCTCCGCCCCAAGCGGCGCGTAGATCTGCCGGGAGCGCCCCCCGCACCCTCCCCACAGGGCCAGGGAAGCCGGGGAGCTGCTCCGCGTAGAGTAATTCCACCCCCACTCCGTTACACACACGCCCACTCGTGTGCACTAGACACTCGCCCGTGTACACGTCGGTCCATCCGCTCTCATCGAGGTTCGCATCACACATACCCCCGTGCATACACGCACACACGCGCTGGTCTACCACCCCCACGCAACACCATTCCGCACCCCACCCCCCCGGCTCGCACATCTTCATCCCAACCGAGGGCACAGCTGGCCCACAGTAAAAGAGACCCCCCATGAAAGGTGCACAAGAGGTGGTAGGCAGTTGGGGTGGCGCCTACCGGAGCTGGGTTCCTCGCTGCATGTTAATGAATTCATTAATTAATTTCACTGCCCACAACACCTCCTCCCCGGGCGGCGGCTCTTGCGCGGATCTTTGCACTGCCCGGCTTCGCGGGCCGCCTGGGAGCGGGTACCGCGCGCGGTTTCGCGTAGGCTCGGGGACCGGGGTCGCTCGCCTCCCCTTCCCTGGTGCCCCAGGGGCCCAGCCCGGCCGCTCACCACGTGCTCTCTGTTGTTGCTGCGCTTGCCATTCCAGGAAGCGGGCCGCCTCCAGTAGCGTCTCTATGCTCATCGCTCCGAGAGCTGCCGGGGGCGCGCCGGGGCCGAGACTGCGGCCCGCGAGCCGGGCACAGGTCAGGCTGGCGGGCAGGCAGGAGGGAGGGATCACCTCCGGGGGGCGACAGGACTGGGCGGCGCAGCGCACTCCGCAGAGAAGAACGGGGGAGCACAGGAAGAAAAATCAATGTCTCCCCAGATATTTGCAAAACGTAATTTGCAAATTTAAAAAAATCTGATGCAAAAAAAAAAGGCGGCACTGCCTCCCTCCTTCCCCTCCCTCTCTTCTTCTCTTCTGATGCCTCCCGCCCCGCGGCCCCCAGGAGTCCCGCCGACAAGAAAAGGCTTTGCAACAAGATGGCGAGGAGACACAGACACACACAACAAGGGAAGGAGCCGCGCTGCCCCCGGCCGCCGCCCCCGCTACTACACCGGGGCCGCAGCCAAAGCCCGGACCGGAGCCCCCGCCCGTAGGGCCCCGGCGTCTCAGGAAGGGAGGGGCGGGGCCCCGGGCGGCCTGGCCCCGCCCACTCGAGACCGCGCGCGCACACGTGGCCTGGGTGGGGGTGGGAGAAGCTCCAGCCGGGTTCGCGCCCTGCATTTCCGCTCTCCCGCCTCGCCCCGCCCCGATTGCAAGCCACAAGTTGAGCAACGGCTGCGTGTTTGGGTCATTCACAACGAACTTTGTCCTGCTGGAGGTAAAGGAGGGTGAAAAATTCAGGACTTAAGTTTAGCTCAAATAAGAATATTCCAGGTCAGGGAAACCTAGGTTGGTAAAGACTGGCCTGACCCTTGGGTCTCCGCTTTCTACCTACACGTGACCTAATTCCTGCAACCACCCGGCTGTCGCAATTCCCCCGGGATCCGCCCCTGGGCGGAGCTGACGGCTGGAGGCTGCCAGAGAACCCGCGAAGGGAGCGGAGTGGAAATCCGATTCCGCGTTTTGTCTCCGTTCCTCCCCCCGCAGTGCGTTCGCATCCTATTAGGCGACGTCACCGGGCCGCGGGCCAATGGGCGGGCAGGACAACACGGCATGGAGCAGCTCCACATGGACACCCCGCGCCGCCAGCCCTGTGTTTAAAGGGCCAGTGTCTAGCAGGGTCACATTCGCGGGTGCGGATGGGGCCACTGTGTAGAGGGTAGGACGCTGAGAGGGAAATTCTACAGTTGTGCCCTACCTGCTGTTTACTTTTCACCACTCTCCTTTTAAAAGTGAGTCTCTTTCCTTCCTTCCCCTAGATTCTCGTCTTTGTCCACGCGCGTCTGATGCGGGTGGAGAGTCCGACTGTGTCTCCCCAGAGGCCGCCCTTTGCTCTGGGGCTGGGCTCAGGACGGTTACGACTTAGGCCTCCACAGCCCAGACCAAGGGGGTGTGGCGCAAATCGGGAACAACAACGTGGAGGGCGGAAGCCCGGCCCTCGCAATGGCTGGACTACTGAGGCCGCGGGGCGGGGCCACTCCGCCCAGCCACAACCGCGCTCGCCGCTAGGGCGGGACCCGGACTGGCACGCCCAGCGGTGGCTGCTTGTGTTAGAGTTTGGGGCCGCCTGGGGTTACAGTTAACAAGTTAGACCTTTGAGGTCAGCCCAGGTGGCTGAGTGGTAAAGAACCCACCTGCCAATGCAGGAGACCCGAGTTGAATCCCTGGGTGGGGAAAGATTCCCTGGAGAAGGGATTGGCAACCCTCTTCAGTATTGTCTGGGAAATCCCGTTGACCGAAGAGCCTGGTGGGCTACATTCCATTGGATCGCAAAAAGAGTCGGAGACGACTTAGCCACTAAACAACAAAACACCCTAATTCTCTCATTTTGCAGTTAAGGAAACTGAGGTCCAGAGATGAGAAAGGACTTGTCTAAGGCCACTCAGTAGTCCAGTTGCTCCTTGCCGGGTAGAAGGAGCATTTATCCCAGACGGCACAGATGACTCTTCTACAGACAGTTCTCAGTCAGTGTCCCCAGTTAGAAAACAGTGGTGGAGGAGTATCACACTGCTCACATGGGAAAGAGGAGTCTGACCGCTTAACATTGCTAGACACATATAAAGCTGGTACAGATGATGCTTCCTGGCTTCGTGCCTTTCCTTTGAGGGCATAATGTATCCCAGGGAAAGAAAGTCTGCACAGACTCTGGAAATTGAGAACCTAGTAAACAGGAGGAAAGGGGTGTTTGCCAGCACCAGTTTACAGAGGGCTCTTATTTTTCCACAGTTATTGCCCCAGCACCTGTAGCTGAGCAGAGAGAGGCCATTACACACAAGTGACTGGGTGGCACTGGGTTTATTTATGACGAAGTTGAAAAGCAACAGGGGATCAGAGCATTAAATAACAGTCAAGTTCTTTGCAGGATGAATGCTTCTTTCCTTGGAAGGCTAGATCAGTGCTGGTCCCAACATTGCTTCTTTTAAGATATCTGCCACCTGAGACTGTATGTATGTGTGTGTGTGTGTGTGTGTGTGCACACGCGCGTGCGCGCACATGCTCAGTTGCTTCAGTCACGTCCGACTCTTTGCGACCCCATGGACTGTAGTCTGCCAGTCTCCTCTATCCATGATTCTCCAGGCAAGAACACTGGAGTGGTTGCCATGCCCTCCAGGGGATCTTCCCGACCCAGGGATCGAACCCGAGTCTCCAGTACTGCAGGCTGATTCTTCACCCACTGGGTGTATATATATATACATATGCTTCCCAGGTGGCTCAGTTCTGGCCTGGAGAATCCCATGGACAGAGAAGCCTGGCGGGCTACAGTCCATGAGGGCGCAAAGTCAGACACAACTGAAGAGACTTAGCACGGACACACATTATATGTATACATGAAATAGTCTAATGTATATCTAAGTGACTTAAGATAACTTTGTTGGCCAAGTTCTCATTTTGTTAGGGGCTAGCACTGTACCATTCTGCCCAGTGGCCCGGGATGCTCAGAGAGCTACCTCCAGCTGTACCCTTCTGCCTTCCTCAAGTGGTCATGACATGCTTACAGTCCTGAAGTCTCTTCTGGCGGCTGAAGTCCAATTCTTCTGACTCATCAGGGACCCAGCTCTGTCACATCACAAAGGCACCCCTCTGAAAAGTAGTGTTCTGAAGACAGCTTTGCCTTCAGGGGTGGGGAAGCAGGAGGTAAAAGTGGGGTGAACACAGAATTCAAATGCCAACCTCTCCCTTGTCCCCAATAACCCATCTGGTCTGGAGATTAGTGGAGATGCTCACTGTTTAAAACAAACAGCCTTCCCGGCTTCACATGATCATCTGTTTATTTGGGTCATGTGGGGACAGCAGCCAGGGGATGTTAGGCAAAAGCAAGGGTTTAGAAAGGAGGCTTTTCCTGGGCTTGTTGCTGCCTGCAGGAGCCTGAAAACAGCCAGACAGGGTTTCTCATCAACGAAGGTTACTCTAGTTGGGGAATGGACAGTGGGGGTGAGAGATACCATTTAGGTAGTAAGGGGGCGAGTAAAAGGAGAGGAATGAATAGGGCTGTTTAATGTTTTAGCCCAACTTCCTGTTGCAAAAGGGTGGAACTCAGGTAGAAGCTGGCCACTGTTGCATTCATTCAGGGGGAAGTCTTTTTGATGTTTCAGCAGAAAGGTTAGCGTGTTTGGGGTGTAGGCCAACGCCCAGCCATTTCCAAAAAGCTGTTCCTAAAGGGCTTCCAGTGCTTAGTATCTTTGGGGCAGGAGGAAACCTGGCGCATCCATCATTGTGTAATTCTCATGAGAGGGTTTCTGTTTCCACTCTTCTTCCTGAAGTCTTTTGCACCCTAGTGCCCAGTTTAGCCCCCTTGATTTTTCTCTTTTGGCCATGCTGCTCAGCTTGCAGGATCTTAAGTTCCCCAACCAGGGATCAAACCTGGGTCCGTGACAGTGAAAGCGCCAGCCCTTACCACCGGCATGCATGCATGCTAAGTCATTTCAGTCGTGTCTGACTCTGCAACCCCATGGACTGTAGCCCACCAGGCTCCTCTGTCCATGGGATTGGTTCTCCTGGCAAGAATACTGGAGTGGATTGCCATGTCCTCTTCCAGGGGATCTTCCCAACCCAAGAACTGAACCCGTGTCTCGTGTCTCTTGCATTGGCAGTAGATTCTTTACCACTAGCACCACCTGGAAAGCCCCCTTACTACTGGACCACCAGGGAATTCCCAACCCCCTCAATTTTTTAGCATGTGGAGCTAGTGACATTCCTTAATGAGACAGTCTTCCATAGCCCCACCAGTCATCCCAACAAAGCTCTACATATATACACAAATCTCAGAGCTATGAAGATCAGTTCTCTGAACCTACAAAGCCGAAAAGTAATGATAGGGGAACAGGTGTGAAGCCAAAGTACAAATATACCAGGTCCCAAGTTGCACATGCCCTAACCCTTCAGGCCTGACTTCTCAAACTATGCACATCGTCTTAGGAGAGCTTTTCACCTACTACAGTTAAAACAGCAAAGGGAGAAAGTCAGCTGTGCAATGAAGAGGGAAAGACAGAAGACTAAGTACACTCAGGGACACGCTGCAAGATGTTCACAGATCCTGTGTGTCAAACGTGTGCCAGACACTGGGCTCTCCCTGTAGCCAAGGCCAGGGGAACTTTGGTAAGCCAGAGTGGGATAAAAGGTCACAGAGTTGAACTCAATCCCACAGTGATACATGGAAAAAGTAAAGCTTTGCTCTTTCCCACCATGCTGGATGTAGCACAAGAGATCCTAGGACCATAAAAGCATCTGTGAGGGTACTGATCTACCTATTTTAGAAAGTTACTTCCCAGATAATCGTATTTTTCTAATAAGTGAATTAAATGGATTTAAGGCTGGGTTAGCAAACTGAACCTGATGCCTGACGAGATCAGTCTGAATAATGATGAGCAGGATTCTGAATTACTCTCTTAGAGGTGTATCCTATAGGGCATGCGTTCAATTGCAGTAAAGTGGTCTCCCTGGAGCTGGAAGTTTTCACCTAAGTTCTCATCTGCCTCCCTCTACTCCTGGTGAGCTGTCAAAGGACCTCTCCTAAATCTAAGAAACAGATACAGTCA